TTTCGATTTATTCCCCGCCAAATCGATCGTTTCTTTCGTCGAAGAATTTTGTCCAAATTTAAATACGCTGTGGTCTAAACACGACGGTTATGCAACGCGGCTAGGACCGGTTGTCGTTTGTAAAAAAAGAAATAACTGGCTCCTCGGATGGGGATCCTGCCTTTCTTCGTTTCTGGTTATTGACTCGATCGTGAAGTGTCGAAAATGAATTTCATCGAAACTGAAAGAGGTGGTACGTGTTAATTACCATCGTGATAATTATCCGATTATAGTTGTTCGATCCGGATAACTCTCGAGGATCCGTCGAGGGAACCGGCACAAATCGAAATTCGTTAAGATCGCTATTTTTTACACTGTTTTTTACACTCTCGAAAAGAGTACGTACACGCCCTATTCGTCATCTTCGATTGCACGTCTTTTTTTCGCAATACCGATTTCTCTTTCTACGCGCGGATCGTACTCGAGGATTCTCAACGCGGAGAAGAAACGTTGACCAGGCTCGCGGATCTCGATCGCGAACCGTGCAATGCAAACGAGAGAAAAGATCGCGGGCAAGATCCATGCGTGAGTAATAATCGTCCGTAATTATTATCCGCGTGTTCCCACCCCTTGCCGGCAGGCGACGAGACACAGAAGGCGGTTTCTAGGTTGAAACCTCTTGGTTTCTGTTGGAACACGACCGGCCCGCATACCAGTTCATCCATGAAAGAACGAACAACTGCCGATGCCACGAAATATCACGACTCCCATCGCGAATACCGGATCGCGTCCAAAGTTCTAACGCGTCGTCGAATCTTTTCGCTGACTTCCCCGAAAACTTCGCCGCCCCCAAACGTTACGCAACGTCTTGGTAAAAAGAATTAAATTGGGTTGGAAAGTTACTTCCATTCGTATTCGTACATTATACTGGCGATTCGCTATGAATGGGGGGAAAAATGATCTAGGGGTCCCTTGGTTTCATATATTGAGATATTTAAGGGTTCCTTATAAAAAGGATTACTTGACGATCGTGGCAAGTTGGGCACACGCTCTCCGTTTGGTTATCAAAGTGCAGCTGCATTGGGTCCGCGTGCAGCACGAGATGGGTGACCGCTCCGGGGAAAAAAACGCGGTTTATTTGTACATAAACAGAGAGTACTATATAATAATATAATAGTAACTATTGTATAACAGTAATTATTATACAATATTAAAAAAAATTCTTCGTAAGTAAAGCAGTGTAAACAGTTATAATAAACAAACATCATAAACAGTATTATATAATAATATATAATAACTATTGTACAATAGTAATTAATTGTAAAATATTTAAAAAAATTCTTCGTAAGTAAAGCAGTGTAAACAGTTATAATAAACAAACATTTAGTAAAAATATTCCTCTCCATTTAAAGCAACTATCATACTGTACAAAATACCCAAGTGAGATGAAGAAAATAAATTAGTAACTGTGTGTATAATAGAGTTTCTGGTCGCGATAAAAATTCCTAAATAGACACACACAGTGACACGAAAAAAGGAGAGAGCCCCCCCAATAATTATTCTGAATACACCCGGAAGATGGGCTCAACGAAATCATCGATAAACCACGAAAGAGTAATAAAAAAAGAGAGGTGTCCTTGTCGATGCAACTCGTACTCGCGCAGAATCCGTCGAGAAAGTCTCCGAGACTAAACCGGGGAACCCCCTGCATCATATTCGCGCGTTTCTCCAGCGTCGGCGACATTGAACGGGAATAATTCGCCGGCTCGAAATAAACAAAAGAAGGGAAGAAAGTTTTCTGGTTTGAACGTTACCATAATCGTGCGCCGGTGGGTAATTTTGTAATAACGTTCTTTCTTTGGCTGGAAGAGACGACGGGGAACGTTGTACCCCGGGGTACCGGTCGGTCCCGACCGTTCTCATAATTATTCCGCAATTATTACTCGCAATGTAGGCGAGATTAAATTTAATCACAGGTTACGAGAGAGTGCTTACGGCGAGGAAGAAAGATCCTTACGGTGGACGGCACGTGCAAGCTATTATCTTTGCCGCAGCGAGCTACGGTCGGTCCCAAGGGAACCTAAACAAACGCAACTGGCCATTGTTGCAAAAGACAATGACCAAATGACGCGTGTAATCGTTTCTGCGTCTACCTTCGAATCGCACCTGCTCGCGTGCTCGTCGTCCCTTCTCTCTTTCTCTCGCGTCTGCGTCTCGTTTCCGGAATCCCGGGATATCCATAGCCGTCGTTTCTGTAATTCGCGGGGATTATTAACCGCGACCGTGTACGGTCGAGAAAAATTTCAATCGAGCCACGGAGCACCGATGGAATTTTAATTCGCGGATTCGTTATTAAAATTCCTCGCGACCTCGCCGAAACTTTTTACTCGCGAATCCGTCGACCTGTGCAGTTTCCCGCGGAACGACAGGAAGAGAAGCCACTTTGTTTTCGGCGCTCGATGCGTCCCGTGTCAACGGTTATTTCACCGCTCGCCTTAACCGACCAGCCAACCAACTTCAATTCTACTCACGACGTAAACTGAAACGACCGTACCCCAGCCCGTCCAACCTTATTATTTCCTCCCTTTCCACCCTGCCTCGTCGCGCTTTAATGCAAAACGAACGCGACGCCGCGGAAACCTAATTACTCGGCGATTCGGTCGAGAGTCGTTCGACGAGGCGGCAAGAAGCGCCCGTTGCAAGGACAACGGGCTCATCCAAAAAGAGAATGGCGCATTCTTGCGGCTCAAGGTGCTATTTTTTGGAAACCCCGTAGCTCTTATCTTTGGAAATCCCCGTTTAGCTAATTCCAGTCGTGCGAACGTTACTGCATTAAAATGAAAAAAAGAAAATAACTAATTACGACTGTCGCGGGTTCCGTAACGCGTCGCGGTTTGACACGAATGCGCGATCTTTATTACAAAGTAACGTAATAGCGTTGAAATTGCGTCACCCTCGACGCAATAAAAATATCGTCGTATCGGTTTATCGAGCACGGAACGCGAAGGTGTCTCGGGAGATATTAGAAAGTAGCCTTTTCGTGTTTTTCTTCCCGTCCGCGATCATTTTCTAAATCCCGGATCGGAGACGAACGGTTTAAAGTTCGCCACGCGCGTACGCGTAACTGAATCGCGCGTTTTCGAAATCCGCCGCGCACCTTCGACGCAACAGCGGCCTCAGCCAGCTTTCACGGCCCGAATCACGATTGCGATCGCGCGATGTAAACAGTAAGAACCGTGATTTCTTCGCCTCCCGACGACTACCTTGTGCCTGTTTGTCGCGCGGCGAGTTACAAGAGCAACGGACCGACGCAATCGCGAAGAGGAACCGAGAAACCAGCCAACACGGACCTCTTCGCGCCTAATTCTAATTCTAATTCTAATTCTATTTTCTCGCATGATATGTTATCGAAAACATCGCGTATGTTCTTCCAGGAAGCTCCAAAGAGGGTCCTTTCAACTTTAAATATTTTGGGAAGAATACGATTCATTTCCATCGTAAACGCTTTATATAAAAAAGAAAAAAATTACTCTTATTATTTAATATCTCAATCTATGTATGTATTCAACACTATACCACTTTGAATACTCGGTCGAAAAAGGGTTTGCAAGTAGATGTTATTTTAATGGTACGATCTCCTATTCGAATATCATTGAAATGTTTAGATTTAATTGTTTGACATTGTTTGATCGATGTTTTTAATCATAAATGTTCTTCACTTGACAGTTCATTGTATAATAATTATTCACAGTCAGTCTCATGCTTCGTAACATTAAATTTTGTTTATCTGTTTGTCTTTGTTATGTAACTGTCTCCTATACTTGTATCTGTTTCTGTACCAACGGGCGTTTGATCCCGTTGAATAAATAAATAATTCTAATTCGGATCCACGGGTGTCGGTGATTATTAGGCGCGCGATCGAAAGTATAATGAAAGAAAACGAGTAGCGGCGACGAAAGAGGGAACGACGCCGAGGGGTGAATGGAAAAGAGAAACGCGACGCAAAAAAGACGGATCAACGCGATCGAAGAGAGAAGGAGGGATAAAGAGAAAGACGGATCGAGGTGTAGCGGCGAGGTGATCGTAGTGGGATCAACAAAGCTACCACGACGGGCACTTTCGACGACAGTAACCAGGGGGTCCAAGCGTTGATGTACTCTTTGGTTCGTTCGAGTTTGGTAGGGAGCGCTGGCAGAGCTCACAAATACATATTTGAAACGCGGTGGCGAGCACTATCGGTGCCTCTAGCCCGGGAAAAAGGTAAATTTTTCACGGGAAACCGGGGGAAATAAATTTTTTATGGCCCGCAAAAAAAATGTGAAATTGATATGGATAGGGAAACTAGAAGCTTCGTAAATTTTACAATATCGAAGATTCGAATAGAAATTATTTGAACGAGGTACGTGGTAACGAAGTACTTCTTACAAATAATTTCGAAATTTTGCAGAGCCCGGAAGAGTATTTTTTACGAAGGTAGAATCCTCGCAGTTAAACACTATGTTTCGTGTATTAATGAATGAACGTAACCGATAATTGCGCGTAGCGTAATTTAATAACACACGAACGAAAGATATCAAAGTGGTCCCAAGGACAGTCGGTTGTCCAGTGAACCGAGCTGCCCATTTTTCCAGATAGTCGTTAATAAGATGCAATAAATTATACTCGACCGTAAGCTACTTAATAATTTTTACATTCCATCGAGATCCAAAGAAGGAAAACGTAAGGAAAATTGTACGCTATTTATACGATCATCGTCGACGTAACTGGAGCAATAAAATAATGATAAATTAATTGCACGAATATGGTACCCTTTTTTAATTTAGAACAGTGCTATTATTTTGAATTATATTTATATTTTTCAATAGCCAGTTTGCTGTATATAATAATATAGATACACGCGTTGAGGCCGTTCACACATTTACACATTTTAGTTCGCTCAAGGTTGGTAGGTGGCACTACAAACTTGGCTTCAACTTATAACACGTGAGATTGGGCCCCCTGGCAGTAACCACGAAGACGCCATGACGACACGATCACCCACATCGTTCTCGGCTCGGCTTTCCGCTGTCGGTTTAATCGCAGCGGGCTTTCTTCTGCTTGCAACACGTGAGTTCACACGACAACGATCGAACGCGTTACTTTTAACAAAGTACACTTCTTATCATTGCGTTTCACGATGGTCGATTCGGTGTTGAATTTCCAAAGTGACTCAAAAACGTGATCCCATGAATCGTCCGTGGTATAAATTTTTCTCTACCGCGACCGTCTCTCGATCAAGTGCATTTAGAACGTATTTAGAATAAAAAATCGCCCCGAGAGTAGTTATTCCAGCAGGACAAACGTAGCAAAGTATTCGAGTTTTAGACGATTCGGTGGTAAACAATCTCCAGAATCTCCCTCGTTACGACATTCGAACAGTGAATCCGATAACGAAATTCCCTCGCGGGACCAAACTGTGAACCTGCCGCGGCAATTAATTTTTTTTCACGCGTAAAAATAGAAAGCTGAATTGCAAGGAGGCGGAGGCTCGCGTAGGAAACGTAACGAGGGCCCGAAAACGTATCGAAAACGAGGAAATAAGAAGAGGAGCGATCGATGCACGGACAGATTTCATTTACTGAATTACTGCCAATTACCGAACGATCCGGCACGCGCTAATTACTCGGGGCCAATTAACGATGCAGCCGCGAGCTCCGCGGAGCTTGTTCAACGTCGGCGTCTCGATTTGCCGGTCTGTTTCGCGTCGCCGAGCGACTTTCGCGTTCCACGCTTTTCTCCTCGGACCGTCGTCACGCGCAAACGAGAAACAGATTCACGGTGATAATAATAAAAGAAAAGAAAAGAAAAGAAAAAAGATACACGCAGGAAAGAACCCGGGCAGCTCGCGGTCGTAAACGAGCTCGCCAAGAAATCCACCGACCGCTTTCCCCTCGAGAGTTTCGCGACACACGATTCGCGAAAGTGCAACGCGAGCCACGCGCAAACAGCAGAATTTACTTCGTCTCGATTCGAACGGGATTACGTCCATCGATCTCGATCGTGCTCGATTCAGCTAATTTTCCACGTTTCCGCGATTCACGGTTGTGCAACGCACAGGGGTGCTAGTTTTCCCTCGTTGAGGTAAAACACTCGGTACTTGAACGCTAAATTATCTCTGATATTCGTTAAGAATTGCATATATTTTTAACGAAAGACAGTTTGATGGTTGGATTTAAATTTCGTTTAATTCAACATGGCTTGCTGACATATATTTACGAGTTCTGTAAATCCTAGTGTCGATTGTGTCCGCGAATGAGTTTTTCCAAGCAACGCTTCCCGATCGTGGAAACTTGAACTTGATCGTTAACATCACGGAGCATTGGACATTTTTTTTCGTGTCCTGTCCACCGACAAATTTTACTATTATTATCCCTCGAACGCCTCGAGTTTCGTATCGCGGAAAAATTTCCAACGCGATAAATTATCTCCCGTCTGGAGCACATTATTTGGACTTGGATCTCGTTGCATAATCTTACGCGAAGCTCCCGGGACGAATAAATGGAATTTGTCGCGAACAGGCGCGTCTCGATATCCCGCGAATGATGGAATCACGGCCAGCCGTGAGCGCGAAACTCGATATTTCAATTTAAGATCGCGGGAAAGAGGGGGAATATATCTCCGGGAGCGAGTCGAGCGTTTCCCTTTGGAAAATTAAACGACGTTTCGAATCCCGTGGATCTTTGTTTACCCATGCGATCGCGAGGATGGATCTTGGCGAATTCGTTACTGAATACGCGGGTTGCGACACTGCCTCGAGAGTCGTATTATGTACGGCCTGGCAATTACGCTTGTCCGCCTTCTGCTTTCTCTTTCGTATGAAAATGTCAAAGGTCCGATATGTATCTCCGCTCTCTGTCGCTCTTTCTCGCATATATTTTTTTTTCTCTTTCTTTCCACCATCTCAACGTCGTTGACCTAGATTCGTCCGCCCGTGTCCACGAGACCGGTAATAATTTCCACCCGAATCAACGGATCCGGCCTCCCGCTGATCGGAGAAGTCCCTATCCTCGATCCAACCGTCCATCGATCGTTCGATTTTTATCGTTCCCGCGGATCCCAGGATCCCGCGTAACAATTTAATCGCGTTCTCGACTGTCGTTACCGCGGGAATAATTACGCGCTAATGGCTCGCGGTCGGAACGACGAAATGCATCCTCTTCGTAGCTGGAAACCGACGCTGCCTCGACGCTTCGACGCTTCGACGGTTCGCATTAGCGATTGATACCGGGAGCTCTGCACGACTATAACCCACATTCACAGAGGGGGGAGCTACGTCTGTCCGCAAACCACGATTCCACCCTCCTTCTTTCCAAATACTCTCGAAATTGGAAAATGCTCCTGACCACGCTTCATAGACGGCGAACAAATTCTACGTCGATTGGCTACTAATTGGAACGGAGAAAATTAAATAGAGTTTTGTACCGGAACCTATAATTCTTCGGTGTTATGCACTGCCGGAATATTCTCGTTGTACCCCTTAAGTGGACTCTCAATCTCGACCGAATTATTAATTAATTTCACGCTGTACGGAAATGTTGTTTAATACTTTTTTGTAGATATTCTTGAGCTCTACTTCACCAGTAAATTTCAGTGAAATCCATTGACTATTGTAGGAGTTATGGCACTTTTATGGAGTTTTTCTAACTTTACGGTGTTGAGGAACAACTTTTCCAATATTCTTAGAATTTCTACACATTCTTGACTAAAATACGCGTTGTTTGCATTTTGAAATATTAAAATTGTCCAATCCGTTCAGGAGTTATGAATTTTTAAACATGCGCATGAAATCTCATTTATGTTCATTGTGTTTTCGGTAAAGAATTTTTTTCTCGAAAATGCGTGGGATTTTGGGGATATATCTATTCACCCAAAAATGATTCTAACAGACCCCCGCGACTGAAAATAATTTTTTTAGCATGATTTGAAATTTTTTATTTTCGCCGAAAAATTTCAGCACCTTCTGAATTTTTTTCTCGAAAGTGAGTAGGATAATTCACAAAAAATGGAATAATATGGACACTTTCAGTAGTCAAAGGGTTAATAAAAATAAGAAGCATGATAATCGCCATAATCTTCGAACGCACTCTTGTGTTGTTGATCGAGCGCGAACACGCGTACCGAGAATCGCACGCAGAAGCTCCGTTGGTCCTCTCTCGGTGGCACAGGGGTTGTTGCTCGCCTAATCAACCCTGCGATCGATCGAGGTTCTTACGGGTTCACCGGTTCCACCCTCTTTCACTTTTTCCACGCGCGTTTAATGGTATTTATCGGCGAGCAGATCCCTTTTGCAAAGGAAAAAAAGAAGAAGAGTTTCGGTGCAACTGGTCGTCGGCGAAAAATGCAAGAGGAAAGCTCTAGCTCGGATGCATAAACAAGCCGCGTCCCATCCGGTCGTGGACCGTAACAGCGTACTTTTCTCCAATTATCAAATACCAGGAGCAGCCGGGACAAAGTGGTACACGGGATCCCGGGTGCACGTTGCATCACCGACAGTTAACGGGCGCCGGGAGATCCGCGGATCGTTTCACCAGACGTATCTAATTTTCCTCGGATCGCGGGCCGATTTTTCACGGAATTTCCAAAGAGACCGCGTATCGACGGGAGCGTTTACCCTGCCATCGTTTACGTGCACGCCCGTGGAAACGTCGCGGTACCAGGATTTATGCCCATCCGCGCATAAGTCAATCTCGTCAGGATGGACGATATCCTGTCCGGCCAAGAGAGAGCTATAACGGTACGCGCTCGATCAAAGGGTTAGATGCGCGAACGATCCACGTCGACCGGTTCCCTCGATTCGTTAGCATCTATCGCGACCATCCAACGATTCGCCTTAACGTTCGATCCATATTTATGGCTACTCTAACCTTGATTTCTGCGTCCCCGACTACGATCCAGGAACTTCCCCGTTACGCTATGTAAAGGATCACGAGCGATCCAGCGAAGTACATAAATAGAAAAGTGTACGATAATTAACTCGAACGGATATTACAAAAGGAGATAATAGCTATGCATATATGGAGTACCGATTCTACACTCAGGGACATGGACAATGGAAATGGATATCAATTTTAATCGACGTCGTTACCTTTATTATTTATCGTCAGAGTACTCTGATTATTTAATCGACAATGGAAATGTTTCAAAATGCAACCAACTGCGAGAGGATAAAATAGACACTACCGGTAACAGATAGTAACATTGCCCTCTTTTGGCTTAATTGCAGCCTTTCCTAGTCGTGCTACTTATACGATTTACTGTACAATCTTCATCAATATTTTCAAAGACATTAAATTATTGAACGATTTCATTTCATTCCCTTTGTCGTTCAAGGGAACTTTGGTATCCAATATACGTCACAAATTCCCTATTCGAGTCAGAACTTCGCGACAGCCATTCGAGCAATTTAATATTCCAAACAATTTCGTACTCTTTTTAACAACGTGCTTCCGTTTCGAAGAACAAATTTCCAAATTCAATAGCACTCTTGCCCTTCCATATTTTCATTTAAATAATAAATAAAAGGTAAAAATATATTGTAACATGGATGTTGATTAAATTTCATCGTCCACCATCGTCCTGTCGAAGAACAAATTTCTAAATTCAATTTTACTGTTGCCCCTTCCACACATTTTCATTTGCAACATTAACCCTTTTCCGAGAATATTTACCAATATGAACGATTGGCAATACCAAATTAAATTTTATATGAAAAGTATATGTATACTTTTATAATTTAAATTCTATTTATATATGTCATCGTAAAAGAAACTTCGATCGAGCTATGGTACGTATTATGTTTGTCGTCATAGCAGCGCTAGTGTCATCGTCTATCCTTAGACAAATGGCGACCACCTGAATTCTCGTCACTTTGAGCATGCCTATTTTCGTAATTTGCGAAATAACGATCTCGAAAACGGAGTCAGAAACAAGGTCGTCGATCGAACGACCTTATCGGAATCGCGTAGATGGCCGGGATTCCGTGATCCCGCTCGACACGATTCTGCACCGCGTGCCTGGCAACCAGCGAGGCCCAGCTGGCATTTGGGGCACTCGATTTCGCGTACGATCGCGATTCGTAACGATCGCGTCTCAGAATCGATCGAGGGTTAACGGTAGTCAACGAGACATCGGTAACTAGCGACGAATTTATTATTCCGCTAGATTCGATCAGTTAGGCGACCTGTGCAAAATCCACCTACGCGAGACGCGTTCCTTTGCTTAATTATTCGAGAGGCAAATCGCGACGAGTTCATCATCGATCACGAACTTCTATACTTTTCGAATATTCTCAAACAGCGAACGACGAACGTTGAACGCCCGGGATGGGATGAATTAACGAGCGATTTTTCTTTTTTTTTCCTCCCCACCCCCGTACTTCACCATTAATCAATCTCGATTATGTTCGCAGACGTACGCAGCGAAGGTTATTATGGGAAGCTTATTGGCAAGCTGTCGGAATTTCATCACGGCGTCAGCGGTGAAGTTTACGCCGTGGACGGCCGAACTCTGTTCATCAAGGACTTCACGTACGACGGCGAGGCGCCATGTTCGTAATTAAGAACCGCGTCCAATCGCGAGACTTGCCCGATTTCAAAACCACGCGTCCGTCGCCCGGCTCGACTTTTCGAAACGTCCAACGAATCCGGTTCTTTATTTTTATTCGTCGAAACAGACACGCAAAACGAAGGAGCAAGCTTAGGCAACTTCGAAGAATCGACCAAGAACGATAGACAATTTTTATATTTTTTTAAATTCTAATTCAAACACCATTTACTCGGTTCTCTGGTGTTCTTCGTTTCTGCCATCGCGACAGTTGGATGAATTTACCGTTTAACAAATTCTATTCCTGCAGATGGACAATTTGGAAATTGATTTACGAGGGTCCGTCGATCTCGTCTTCCGAGAACGCGTCTTGAATCGGAGTCGAAGCAACGCGCGACCGTAAAAGGTTCTCCTACGTCTCCCTTTCGACTCGTTCGCTACTCTCACTTTCATCTATACATACGTACTGCGGTTCGATAAAATCGAAAGCGTTCGTTCGCGAAGGACACACGCCGGCTTGCGGTAACGCTCTAAAAAATTAGCGAAATGGAAAGAATCGGTCGTTAGAGCTCGAAACGATCGTGCAACGATTTCCGCGATAAATATCCCCGGTCGCTGCGTCGACGCGATTAGATTGATTAGAGCCGGGCGATCGACCAACTGGCAAAAACAGGGTAATTAGTATCGATTCCTGGCAATCGAGCGAACCTGTAATCACGATTATCCCTCTTTCAGCTGCGTACTTCTACGTAGGCACCTCGAAAACCCCTAACGGAAACGGCATCAGACTTCGCGACGAGCGTGGATCGTGAGTACACCTTATTTATTCACATTACACGGAGTATTTCAAAACTCTAGCATTAGTTCATTATTTTTTAAACGCTTCAAGTTGATTTCCCATTCACCAATTTGGTAAAAATATCAAGTAAAATAATTCGATCATCTATGGAGTACAATTTTGAAACGATCTGTACGAACAACGGTAGATTTTACAGGAAGTAATTTTTGTTCGATGTCTGGTCGTTGCACGTTGAAAAGGACGCGCGTAAATAATATTCGAAAGCGTGGAGCCGTGTCGTTGGACTAAGAATGTACAATTTTCTCGATTTACCACAGAACGGACACGCTGAAACGATATCGGAGAAAGGACATCACGCTCACGTTACCGGACGGCAAGACTCTTGGCAACGTCAAATGGTTCTCCGTGTGGTGCGACGAATTCGCCGTGAGTAGAGAATAAATAAATCTATGCGCGATAGGAAAACTGTATTTCAGACGAGATTCCTTAAAACGAACTCCTTAAGGTCGACTTACATATATTGTCTGTTAAAATACAGTTGCTCCCACTCGTATTCGCTTCGTTAAATGGCAAGAAACTCGTTTCTTATGGTAGATAAATCTGATACGAGTCCATTATTTCGTACATTAACTTGGACTTGTTAAGATATTCGAGGGTTCACGTATGAATAGATTAAAAAGAATACTCGTCGACGGTTGTGGCACGTTGAATATATTAGTTCTCGGTTCGATTACCGAAGTGCAGCAAAAAAGATGGATGGGTGACCGGTCAGGAAAAAAAAAAGTATTATTGGTATTATATTTGCATACTGTTTACATTATTTATACAATTTTAAATAATATAAACTGTGTTAATATTAATAAAAAACAACATTTGTAATAAATGGAAAAAAACAAGTTAGTTTTCATTTGTAGTGAATCACCATTACGGTATACGAATACTAATGGGAGTGTAACTGTATTATACAGCGTTGCTGATGATATCTAACCTTCTCTAAACAGTAATAAACTAGCCAGCGTTTGGATAGATGGCTGTAACGAAGACTTCTTTTTCTTCAGACCCTTTTAGAGAGCGAAATCTACCTTGTGACCATTTTCAAAATACGCGAACGCCTATATAAGGGCACGTATATCATGCTCGTGACCTTCGATGTCACGTCGATTCCCCGGTCGAACGATACAGAAAACCGGTATCCGGTCCGATCGGTCGCCGGCGCAACTTTCACGCTCGGACTTGTTGCAGCGCGTACCAGCGTATAGAAAGTAACCTCTAGGAAAATTCTCGGCCAAAAAAAGTAATCGAAAGTCCTAATTACGGGCGTCGAAAAGACCACACCGCCTCCTGGCGTCGCGTAGAGAAAATCGGCCACGACTTTTTTCCACGGCGAATTTATCGTTATCGAGACTCGCGGGACGTCGGTTAACGTTGACACAGTTTCCGGGACACGGCAGTTCGTTATTATTATAACGCGGAACCGGGACAAACTCCGTGAACGTTAGTCGTAAAATAGGAAGTTTAACGAGAGGCCCGATAGAGCCGTTCGTCCGCGAGACTCGCTTATCCGGTGATTTACATCGTCGATACACGTTAGCCAGGAAATTTATTCCCGACACCCGGTAGCCCGGGATACTCTGTAATTTCAAAATGATAAGCTCGATCGCGACAGAGCGAGATTGCCACGACGAAATTTCCATTCGATGCGATCGTTCTCTTTAGAAATTCTACGCGAGCGGATTGTTCGAGATGCCGTTGAACATTTTCACATGAATATTCCCTTTTCCAGGTGAACTTCGGAGACGTTAGAATACCGAGGGGGTTCGACTACCCTAAACCGCAGAAACTAGCGGCTTTAAACGGCGAACATGGCGTCAGTTCCGAACCCATCGTCGTCGTCGATGCTCAGACCCTCCTGATACCTAGTTTCAGTTACGACGGCGAAGCTCCGGGTAAGCATCGCTCCGATACACCGAACAACGAGCCTTAAAATGAACGGAATGTGCTGTTACGGAACAACAGAATCACCATACATTGGTCTATAAATATTAGCAACAAATTTATAAATGATACATCATCGACGCAACTTTATTGTAATTGTTACGATTTAGTCAGAATGTACCCAGTTAAATTATTAAACGATTTAATAATTTCCAGAGTTAATAATCTGTAGTCTTTGGATACCACTTGAACCTCCAAATTGAAAGAAATAGAAGCGTTCAATTAACGAATCACGTTCATTTTACGAATCGTTACTATGTATACGTCGTTAGAAAACGAGGATTCGATGCATCGTTGTCGTTTTTCGCAGACGCAAAGTTCTGGGTGGGCGCCGGACCGTCGCCATCGCCTCAAGGGATCCGCGTGGCGGACGAGAACGGAAAAGTAGTACCGCTGCACCGATACGATCGGAAAGCTATCGTTCTGACGTTGCCCGGGGACCTGACGGTCCACCAGATCGGCCACATTGGCGTCTGGTGCGAGGCGTTCACCGTGGACTTTGGCCACGTACAAATTCCGCCGAACCTAAACGTGCCGCCCTCCCTGAAGATGCTCGGAGTCTCGCCGCAGGTAAGCTGGAAAGGGTTCTTGTAGTCGGTAGCTCGGTGGAAGAAGAGACGCTGGCTCGAACCTGATCAGTTATCGCGATAATGTCTGTAACGAGAGCGAGCCGATCGAACCGAGCGGCGAACGATTCCAAGGATACTCTGATATAGTAGACAGAATTCTCGACATACGTTCTCGATCTCCGCGCGACCCAACGCTCGTCTCGTTCTAGGGAAACGCTGGCGATCGGCTGGCGAGTTCGCACGCGAGGCTGTTGCGGTTCCAGGGCGACAGAAGGCTCGACTCTTTCGTGCAATATTAACCGTATCGCGAACCGTGTCGAAAAGTGCCACGCGATAGTTCTCGAGTCGAAAAGTACCAGATCAAAAGTACCAATTTAATTTTTCCAAGCAGGCACTTTTCGATATGGGAGCGAAACGGTTAAGAGATACGCTCGATTCGTCTTGGACACTCGAAAGCTTAGTATATACGCGCAGATACACTCCGGATACCTTTCTTTAGACAAACGATAGAACAAACTTTCGCGCCATTCTCAAACTGTCTTCGTATCGTTCGTCCATTTTGCATAGACAAATTTTAATCGACCGATATATGGTTAATCCATCTCGTATTCGTACAATGTGGACGATCGTGACACGTTGGACACCGCCCAGTTCTCGTCCGATCATCGAAGTGCAGCATCATTGGATCGCGTGCAGTACAGGATGGATGGTGACACTACTTATATCGTATTTTTCTGTCGATTTTGTAATCGAGCATTACTCAATAAGATCTAAAAAAAACTACTTCGTAATTAGAAGTTGACGATGAACAGCATTAAAACAAATAGAAAGAAATATTCCATAAGAGAGTATCTCGTACAGTGAATCACCATTGCAGTGTACGAATACGAGTTGTATCTCCTAAGACGCCATGAATCCTGATGGATTTACGAGTATCGTACGATAGATCCCCGGGTCGTAAATCATCGCGAGCACCCCGGAACTCAGTCGAACTCGCGTTTCGACAAATTAGCGAAAGTTTCTCTAAGCCGGCCAGCTACGTTTACCAACGACGATTCGTTCTGGCGCCGCAGAAAACTCAACAGAGGGGCACAGCTGCGATAATATTGGCCGCGGAGTTCGCCACAAGTAGGAAAGTTCGCCGAGGACCAAAGGAGGCACTCGCGTCCCCGAGACCTTTATTTATTTAACACGGCTAGACGAGAAATCTCTTAACACGGGTCACGAGAGCGGGTAAAGTCGTATAAATTTCTCCGTTAAGATCGTTCTAGGAATGTTTTCGACGCACCTGCGCGTCCAAGATGTCGTCCGCGAGCCTGAAACGAAACGTGTACGAAATGATCCGCGAGGCAAACGTGTAATCTATGCAGTACGGATGTATGCCTACGAGGCACGCCCTTTAATGTCTTCAATTTCCCGCTAGAATGCTGTTCCAAGAGACAATCTCGCCTCCGTACAAGCGGATGAATCGCGTTCTCCTAGAACAATACCGGAGTCGCCATAACTCACGGTCTGCCGTCTCCGCAGGAAATATATGTCGATATTAACACTAGATTTACGGAGAACTCGTCGAACGGGCTTCAGATTCCATCTGTTACACGTTACAGAGCCCGTAAATATTCTTTGTTAACGATTGTATTTAAACATTGTAACGAATATACGCCCTGATTAAAAGAACAATTGCATACTAACGATTTCAAATAGAAATTAGTGCGATCGATGTCCGCAAATCTAGCGTCAACTACAATACGAGAGGAAGCGAGCGTGAGAGAACAGAGTTGAGGGCTTGTTGCGTGATTTGTGCGACATCTGATTCGACTATGTCCGAAATCGAAGCGTTTAATACGAACGAGCGATCGAAACCTGCGGATGGCACGCGATTGTAAGCCTGTGTCGATCTTCTTTTGTAATTCAGCGAACGGGAAGCGTTTTGTAAAGTCGAGACAACGCGTGAGAGAGTGAGAGAGAGAAAGAGAGAGCAACGGCTCCCATGACTGTGATACGAGGGTTAATTATTCTTACGTTTCGCGATCGAGAAAGGAAGCGCGCGTTGCACCGAGAGGCGGACAATACTTCGAGCCTAGGCCAGTTTTTTTTTTCTCCTTCATAAGCACGCGAAAATTTCGCGCGTACAGGACGACACGTATATTATTATTATAGATTAATTCGCGCACGCACCCCAAGATGCGATTATTTTTTCTATCTGATTTTTTGTACGTTTTTACTTGAGATCAATGCGAATAAATGTATTTTTCTTCAAACACGAATCTCCTTGCCTTAACCTCGAACTATTATATCCGCGCGGTCTTGGCTAGACGATCTTCTCGCACGCGTTCTCGTTCGATCGAGATCGCCTACGTACTCGTAGGATCGACGGTTGTACATACCGCGCGCACAGTGACCACACGTCGTTCCTGCAAGCGATGGTAAACGGTGTTTCTCGTTTGATTTCAGTCGAAACTGAACTGCGAGGTTCTCGATGACCGGCTGGCTTACGAGGTACGATGGGCCGTGGCCGGGGACAGCATAGTCGCTCAGCTCGTTGGAAAACTTGGTGAGTACGACAGCCATTGCTGGTTCGCCAACACCAAATCATCCCTGATTCGCGAGATTCCTTTCGAATGTTCGGTGCAACGTGATTCACTATAAACCGGAAAGAAACTTGTTTTTTTATGAATTTTCCCCCCATTTTGACAAATTTTCTTTATTATACCGTGTTAAACTACTCTCTATTTACGCAAGTAATGCCTAATTATGAATTCGATAAAAAGGTATAATTTATTTATTTGTCACACAAGAATCGGTGGTGTCCAACGTGTCACGATCGTTGAATTCATTCAAACATAAACACGTACGAAAAACAACAGCTCGATTCATAAGGAACAAGCTTTTTTCATTCACAGTGAATCACCATTGCAACGTACGAACACAAGACTGCAACCGAACTAGTAACGTACGACATTTGCCCGCCAGATAACACGCTTTTAAACGGTTTTATCGTCTCCTTCGAAAAGGATCGATCGTCTCTGGAACCGGAACACGCGTCTCCGTGAGGCTGCAACGCGAATCCGAAAACCGTCTATAATTGCGCGACCTATTTGCGCCCTCCGTTGGGTCTAGTCGTTCTTCCGGAAAAAAAGAGCAAAAAAAATCGCATTTTACGGTCTAATTAACGCGCGGCGGTGTCGCGTTCGGTGAATTAGGAGTCACCCTACCGAACGCGTCGTTCGTGCGTGACGGAGGACATATTCCCCGCGGTCGCCGAAATTAATAGGCGCGAAAAAATATCAGAAAACTTTGAACAATTCGAATTACCCGTCGTTTTGTTACTTTTGAACGTATCGTGTCGACAGACGAGGGTCAATACATGTCCTTCGGGTTGTCCGCGAACCCTGAAAGAAGCTCGATGGTCGGAGGAGACGTGGTGGTCGCCTGGGTCGACAAAAAGACGCTTCAGGGCTACGCCGTCGATTATTTCTTGGACGCAAAGTCTCAGTGCTCCGGTGGACGTGGCAGCTGCCCCGATACCCGCATACAGGTGAGCTAGTTTTGCACACAGTTACCTGCAACGAAGAGCAATTTGGCTGTAGTCGAATCGTCGGACAAAAGCTCTCGATAACAAGATTCGGTCGCGTTCCTTTACGTTCGATTAACCCGCCTCGCACGATTCGCAGGAAAACACGAATTCCATTCGACTGTTGAACGCGGCGCTGGTCGACGGATACAGCATCGTCACGTATCAGAGACCGCTGAAGACGAACGACGAGCTGGACCATCAGATACTGACAAACGGATCGCAGGCGATTATCTGGGCCGTCGGTCCTTTGAACGAGAGACAAGAGGTCAGCTATCACTCGGACTATTTGAAAACCGACAGCTTCATCGACTTCGGTAGACCACCGATTTGGAATTGTCCTGTTCCAGATCAAGAGCCGTCTCAGCTGTTCGTGGACAGTAACGAGAAGGCCACCGGCAACCAGGTGACACCCGAAACGCGGAGAATAGTTTTTTAATCCACCCCCAAAACGATCCTTTCCGCTCGAAATTCTCCTTCCGTTTTCGGGGAGATTAACTTGCCAACGGGTTTTCGTTTCCGCGCAAATTTCACGCTCGAAACTTTTCAATGTTCGGGATTAACGCGATTTTACTGAAACAGGACCTGGCTGCGATTGCGAAGAGACCGAGACGCGTTACGGCGACGCCCGCGCCGGCGTCCAAGGCCGACGCCTGGGTTATTCCGCCGATCCAGTGCGACGAGCCCGACGACGGGGCATTTTACGCCCAGATGGGACCAACAGGAGGAAAGCACGGATATCCAGCTATTACCGGTAAAATATCATCATAATTTTTCATCCCTATCAATTCCTAGAACGCGTTAAAAGGCGTAACGTTATTAACTTCCAAAGATTCTAAACGTATTGAAATTTAATATAATTTTGTTTTTGCTAACATTATAATTTACAGCTGACTGGTTAAAGTATCGATCTTTCTACTTTAAACTTGAGCTACAATACGAAAACTACACACTTTGATTTCCATTGTGCATTTACATTTTGTTTTCCCCAGGCCACGTCGGTTGGGGCATCTCGTGGTACATAAACGGTCTATTGATTCCTGAGATCAACGTGGTCCGTGGCAAGAATTACACTTTCATCGTGGAGGGAGGCGAGGATCCTAAAATACCCGCTCGCTACCACCCCTTCTACATAACGGACGACCCTGTCGGCGGATACCAACACAAAACGCCCGAAGAGAAAGCTGTAAGCACTCGCGTGCCATCTTTAATTTCATTCGATCACGATAACTAATACGCAAACTACAGATTTCTATTTATTTTCTCTCAGAGCGTAAACGCATAGACGATGGTAAGTCTAGTTTTAGTACGACAAACGAAAATAATTCAACGTCTAACTTTCACACAACGCAACATGCAACATGCAACGCTCGCGATTCCATGTTCTCAGGTTTCGTTGCCACGAAATACTATGATCGAACATTATCACTACCAAAAAATACCAAAACGAATCGCTTTTCCAACAGAAAGTGAAGATATTCGCGGGTGTTCAGCGGCAAGGGGGCGACTATCGACCAACAGGGGTTGGGCGTCTCTGCAACTGGGTCCCGGATCAGAATCATGACTCTGGCGACTTCTCGTCGTTCGGTGCGTACCAACGCACTCTGACCCTGAAGTGCGACCACGGGGCGCCGGGTTTCGTGCAATGGACGCCCGACGAGAACACGCCGAACACCGTCTACTATCAGGTACGCGACAATTGTTTCTACACACGATCGAACCTCTTTTGTTCACGCTGTTCGACCTGCCGCAGTGTTTCACGCACCGCTACCTGGGTTGGAAGATCAACGTTCACGACAATTGCGACGCGGACGAGGCGGCGGCCAGCGAGAACCACCAAGTGTACGTGGAACGACCGATCGTGGATCTCGAGAGCAGCTCCAGCATCCGCGTCCCGAGCAAGGTAACGCCAACGGCGGAGTTCCTTCAGCAGCAGCTTCCTCATCGTGAATACGAGCTTCGTTACCCTTATCATCCACCGACTAACTCTGGCAATCTAAGCACATCATACACGCAGCTACTAACGAACGCTAATAATAACAACAATTACGTACGCTTGCAATCATCGTCGTCGTACGAGGAGCCCTTTGGTTCGAGGCCTTCGTACAACAACCCCGTCCACGGAGTCGTACCGCACCGTCACGAGGTACGCGTGAAGGATACGCATCACGCGAACCTCGACGAGGACCTCATGCATCACCGCAACCACTACTACCATCATCATCATCATCATCATCATCAGCCTCCGCCGATCTATCGCGAACAATCGATGATGGGAGTCACCAGGCTCGCCTCCCCCTCCTCGTATCCTCCTGGTCGGCAGCAAATGACGGAGATCGAACAGGAGCTGCTCCAACAGGTCTCTAACCAGCAATTGTCTAACCTCGTTGCAGATAATCCACGACCACTGAACCACGGGACGAAATACACTTATTCGTCCGCGACCGGGCTGCAGATCCCATATTCCAAGCCACCGCCTCACCATTACGCGACCAATTACCACCATCTTTATCATCACCCACCGCTTCCTCATCATTATCACCACCATCAGCCGGATCAGAGGACGCAACCGATGTACGTCAAGAGACCGATGATGACGCGTCGACCCGTGTTGCAGAGTCCTCACGCGATGCCCCAGTCCGTCCTCCCCATGCAACCGAGACCGGTGTTCCTGGAACGGAAGAAGGCCGTTTACAGACCAGCCCCTTCTACTTACAGGAGAACCCTCGACAAACGACCGACGATCAACGGGAATCCCCAGATCGCGAAGCTTAAGAAGATCGACGCGAAACAAAGAACAAAACTCGAGGCTAAGTTGTCGGACGCGGCAGACGTTCCCAACGTGTTCGCGACCGCCATGAAACCTGCTAGAAACACGGGATTCAACCCCGACACGATAGTGATAGAGGGTGGCTTCAAGCCTATCGTCAGAAGCGTCGAGGAATCGGACGTGGTGCAAAAGAGGATCTCGGAATCCATGGAATCGAACGACGCGCTCGCAAAAGACGCATCGAATCACAGATCGGTCGACAATTTCGAGCCGGTGTTCATACCTTCGCCGCCGGTACCCACGCTCGACGCGAGCAAAAAATTAAAGAAGAAAACCGCCAACGCGAAACTACCGACGCGACAGAGCGAGGCGGACGACATGGAAATGGCGGCCGACAAGTCGAACGCGTATTACTTGCCCCCGGTTTCCAGCACGATTCCCAACGAGCCGCCATCTTCGTTCTCGTCCGGCGTGCTCATTACCTTCGATGGTAAGAGATTGAAGGACTCTAGCTTGGCCAGATCGATCTCCGGGATCGAGGAACACGCCAGCGGTAGGCTGACTCCCGATATTCTGGGCAGAACGCCTCAATTCGGACGTTTCAAGGGAGATCTGCCGCCACCGATTCCTGGCGAGATTCGTTCGGATGATACGCGACTCGAGAAACGTCGTCTGCCATCGGAGGATCACTCGGCAAAGAACACGAGGCTGACGCTCGTCAAAAGATTGAAGAGATCTCCGCACGAGGGTCACGTGCACACGGTAGATTCGCGAGCAAATAACACGAGAACGAACGACCATCGCGATCACAGTAGCCATCTTGGAAACTCGACGTCCTCGAGCGTCAGCGCCGGTAAAACGATCGTCTTTAACATCGGATACCTCTTTCTGAGCGTCGCTTTCTACTGTATTCTCTGAGTAGCCGACTGTTCGAGCGACAGGATCGCCAAAAGCAATTGGTACGATCCGGTACCGATCGAGAACGGAAGGCTATTGGGCTAGACAATGTTTCGTAAGCTGAAACACCGGTCCGTGATGTTTCGTCGACCGAGAAAATCACGATGGTTAATGGGCACGTTAATTCCCGCGCTTCTAATTAAACAGGGAATACTTCCATGCCGGATATTCGACGCAAGACGTTCCGGACATTTAGTACGAAATAATCGTTGAGGGACGCAGCGATTGTTGGAGTGTGCGTGACTTCGCTGATAATGGACGATATATTCGACGCGATATCACGGGAGAGGAATATAACTAACCACGAAATACCGATTTACAGTAGAATCTCGATTTAGCGGACTAATTGGGGAGGGAAGGAGGTGCCAGATAAATCCGAATGTCCGTAAAATAGAGTTTACACGAGACCGAAAACCCGTGCAATAACGAATTGTGTATTTCGTTTGTTAACGATGGAAAAAAAATATTTATTTTATTCGAAAGCGAGCGATAACAGATTGCATATTTTTAAATACGATCCATTTTGTTTGGTAACGACGATAAAGAAACAGCGTGTACGTAGGTTCGTCGCGAATGTAATTCAAGAATGATACAGGAAAGAAATCAAAATGTCGTGTAACTTACGTAAAACTCTAGACGGAAATCCGTTCGATCGAGGTCTCGCTGCTCTTAATTATTTAGCTTACTTATTTAGCACGATTGGACGTGGACTGCGACGGTTCTCGCCATCCTGCGATACTTACCGAGTCAGTGGCCGAACGCTACGAAACACAACAAAAAAGATTCACACCGGACATTCCGACGAACGCTTGGTTAAAAAAGAAGTAAACGTGTACCTGGGATATTGTAGCATCGGGTCCAACGTTAATTATCGACGCTCGTGTCGTCCGAACAGGATTAATAATTACCGTTAACAGTGAATTTATAAAGCGCATTGAAATTCTGTATTATACAACACATATAATAAAATAATACCAAGAGTTATACAAGTAAAAAATAATAATAGTAATAATAATAATTATAACAAATATTTAAGCGAAATTTATAATAGGGCATTGGCAATAGGGTCTAGAGGTAAAAAATAAAATACTTAAAATGAGAGGACAGCAAAGGGTGTAGGACGAAAAACGAGGTCCTTGGGTCGCGAGACTCTTTTGGGGGGGGGAGTCGGTGATCGAGGCGTACTCCGTTGGGATCGCAATTTAGTCCGATCGATGGATCCACCGCAATGAAGCCCGGGAATAAGGGGGTTGGCGGTCGTCTTTGGAGAGCTAGAAATAATTTTCCGTGGGTTTCTCGGGGTTCCCCGAACCGATTTCCGTTCTCGCTCGTCGTGAATTTACATGCCGGCTCGGCGCGCGCGCTCGCACGCGTGTTTCTCTTTTTTTCTTTTTCTCCTAATCGCGACTCTAATTCTCGCGTCGAATCAAAGATCGCCGTTCGAGACCGCGATCGGCGACGGACTCGTCGGGTTGCTCGTGGTCGTTGTCCACTTGTTCTTGTGCGGATCCACGCCGAAACCCTCGTCGTAGTTACCCCTCGTGATGAACAACTGCTTGAAGTGCGGGATACAGTAGAGTTTACCGTTGTTTAAGGTGAACGTGTCCATCCTGTACGGGACAAGAAACAAAAGAAGAAATTGCCAGGTCCTCTTATTCTCTTTACATTCATAAACAGACGGATCGTTTGACAACGTTACCTCAGCACGCAATTGCAATGCAGACACCGGAAGCACTGTTTGTGAAAGATTTTGTTATTCGTCTCGACCTTTTCGAGGGGATACACTTTCTTTTCGCAGCTCTCGCACACGTCCGTGCAGCTCGCCTGAATCTCCTGTTTCGTCGTTTTCGGATTTGGAAGAAATCAAAAGAAATGGTAAACAAAAATTCGCCGGAATACGCGCGATGATGAGGAGGATATGACTGTGTGAAGGGAACCTCCAAGGCCCTCCGAAAGCACTGTTTTTTTTAATCGGGGATTTCCGAGACGCGCATCCAACCGCGAGGAATTGTACTTCGAGAAAGCGGTGTACAGGATGGACGATTTAAACGACCTAAATGTCCTTTTTACATAGCTAACGATGACTTTGGAATTTGGCGATAAACGAGCTTGGATCTAACATCGATTCTATGTTCGTTCTTTTCGCGATCGATGTCCAAATTTTGAAAATGTTCGTTTAAACGATCCAGCCGGTATCTCGCTGCCTACGTCCGAACGTTCGACGTTTTTTTGTTTTTTTCTTTTTCGTCAGGATGTGCCCTTTTATTTATCGTTTGCAATACGATCGTAATAAATCGTTACACGTGACAGGTAAAAGGTAAAGAACAAGAATACCATAAGTCGCTAAAAATTATACAATCCAAGACGCAAAACGAAAGTCTACGGTAAACCATGTCGGCAGAGTAGGCCGCGAATCGCGCGATCTTATAAATTAACTGCTCGCAGATATATAAATAATCTTCTCGCCAATTAACAACAAACAATCGCGGGGTTACGTTCAGCATCGTGTAGATAACAATGTTTCCTTAAAATTATTGCACTGAATTCCATCGATCGTGAAGAGGCTCTTCGTCGATTGTTTTTTTTTTTAAAATAAGAAAGAGAAAAAAAGAATTACACGGAACTCGTGTAGAGAATATATGTATACAATCTATACTTTTCGATCGTCGTTCTCTCTATATAATACTTAAGATTTTGATTTAAAAAAATCACTAATGCCTCTAAATCTTGCACCTCTCCGAGTTCATCGATCGGTTCGGAAAAGAAAAGATCTCGATAAACCCTGAAATTCTACCTCGTATCGTTACCACCCTCCGCTCTCGCCCCTCTTACGATACAATTCCCTTTGGCGTTTCAAGCAACCCTTCGTCGTACTTACGATTACCTTAGAATTAATATTTAACCATTCTCGCCCGGGACACGGATATTCCATGATCGAAGTAAATTTCAGGGGGTGCTTCATCTCGTCCTGACGCGGTGCGTTTCTCTAAATGATTCAAGGGATCGATATATACGTCGTTCTTCTATACCAATGATAAATATATATGTATATACACATATACATATATATATTCGTATGTATACGTATATGTATGCGTAGTGTGCGTTCGCGTTGGCAAATGGCGAAGGAATTTAATACCAATCCTCGCTCGTTTTTGGGGCGATGCCGCCGCGAAGGACCCTAAACTCTACGGATTACAGCGAGGCTCCCCCGTGTGTCGTCCATCCATCGAACATTATACAAAAATTATAAAAAGCCTTATATCGTTCGCCACGATATTCGTCTCGCGGACTGGAGGCCGGTTATTCGTTTCCCGTAAGGACGATGATCTCTCCAAATTTCTTTTCCCCCCTCCCCATTCGTTGGATCGTACGACAAGAAGCTCGAAAACTGCAACTGGATCGTTTTCCCTGGACCCCCCTTCGCGCTCGGGAAACTCTCGTACATTTTCACGGAGCTATTATTTTTGTCATTGGTTCTGATAGGAACGTACCGGTGGGACCTGACGAGAACAGTCGCGAGGAACTCGACTCCGTCCCGTGGACCGTGTTTCTTTTCGTTTTTCTGGTACGATTAGAAAATAATTTAAATCGAACACCGGCTAACAGAACTCTCCGTGTTTACTCAGTCTCGTGTGTGCGTTACGAAGTAGGAAATTAGGGCCGAAAATCCATCCGGGACCATTCTTTTTAGCTCCCAATGCGTACCGTGATAGAATTATTCTCTTTGGTAAAGAAAAGGCGCGTTTCTGTGCTGGATCGAAAGGGGTCGACAACGTCTCGTTCCTTCTACCGGCAGACGCGCGTAAAAAAGTCTTACGTCTACCAAGCGGTAAAAAGACTCGAAAGCTCCTGGGCCCCAGAGACGCCGAGTCTACGATGAATATTTTCACTTATCCGGGTTCCACGATCCTCGACGCTTCCGGAAGCCCCGACGATCTGGATTGGATCTTCTCGGGGTCCTCGATCGCGTCGATACCGAGGTTTCGTCGCTCTGCACTCGCGGAAATAAAAATGTTTGCTCATCGCCGCGGACGAGGCTCGCGGCGACTCGAGCAGACACCAGAGACAACGGAATTTTGGCACCTGTCCCGAGTTTACATAATCGTTTGGCACGTTCGAGTCGCTGCGAGCCCTCGTCCGTTTCCGTTCTCGCCGTACAAACTACCCTCTCGCCCCGTATACGTATCGAAAAGTATTATAAACGTTCTCGTGTAAAAAGAGTGATTCGAAAAATCGCACTGTGCGGCCAAAACGTTCGTTCGAGCGACGGACACGCCGAGCGACCGACGGAGTACAATTTAGGCACCGATTTCTATTAGACCGCGAGCCCGTGGTGAACACGGACGAGACTTAATTATTACTGAGAGAGTTTCAATTCCATCGCTGGGACTTAACGTGTACCTATTAAACCTATATTAGTATTTTTTCTTTCTTTTTTCACGAAGAAGAACGCTCGACGTGTCCCGGAGCTCGACCGTCGCCTACCGCGGTACAATAACAATATACAATCTACGTTAGATTCGCTAAAAAGAACGCTCGTTCGGGAAAGATGTTGTAAAGTGAACAGAAAAATTGTAAAAACCGCACAACGATTCGGACAACGAGTGACGTCGACCGTCGTTCCTCCGAAGCGCAATATTCCAACAGAATTCGTATCGTCCTCGTTGCATGCGTCGTTCGTCCGACTCTTCGCTCCGTTTCTGATCGGGGGGCCCTTTTCTATTCGCGTCCCTTGGCCCTCGGATCCTCGACGTCCCGTGTCCTTTTACTGTTCGCGTCCAACAGAGAACAGAATCACTGGATCGTTGCCGCGAGTGTCCAAAGCCAAGCCAGGGCCAAACACGTTTCTCAGGCGTCAATCTCAAGGCGAAAATGCGAGGCAATCGGAACACACAGGTCGTGGGAACAATTCACGCTTATTAGTCATGCTGTGTCTAATAATGAGTGCTGTTACGCAGGCGGAATTGCCAATCGTGTGGCCTACGGTTTCCTATCGAAGAGGCGAGGTCCAATCTGTGTATCCTCTTTGGAACAGTTTCCAGATGGTTTCATTTGCAGAAACTGAAACTCGCGTGGAGCACGTTCGAAGAATCGTCATTGGAGATATTCGAATCATTTTCTTTTTTTGAGGTTTGTATGGAAGTTGGGATTCTTTGAACGTGCTCGAGACTCGTAGATTTGCGTGCACGCGTTCGGTACTACTAAAAAATTGGAAAAAATAATAATAACGACGAAATACGAGTAGCAAGGAAACGGTGCAAACTTGGCGCAACAGTCCGTGAAAACACATTCCTGTTATCGCTGGTTATCACCCAGATAAATCGTGCTGTTTAGAATACACACGCGCAACGCTGTTTACGTACGCTCCTAAGAGAGAACAACATTTAGAAACTTGGAAGCGGCAAAAAAAAAAAGAAAAAAAGAAGAAAATAAAGGAACGACATCGATTACACAACACACCATGCGAAAAATGAGCGACGCTTCGCAACTAAATACGACGAACAATGCGCAACAAAGAGAGAATCTTTAAAATGTACACAGTGCTGATCGAGCTAAGTTGGGAACACGGAAAAAAGTTATTCGAGTCGAAAGAGAATCGTCCTCTCGTTCTGTTTGGATTCGTTAAAGAAATCACCTTGAATCTCGATCGAATCGATCCTCTTTCGACGACTCACAACGACGAACTAAACGTAAACGAAAGTAAAAGTGTACGAGCTCCGGTCGGAGTTTGATCGTAGATTTGCGTCGGAGGATGAATGGAGATGGACGATGTCTCTATGAAAGGGTACTCACCACGAATCGATTGACCTTGACCTTCGGTGTGCGGGGAGATTCGGTCGGTTGCGAGCCGAGGGACTCGAAGCGAGCTCTGAGACTGCTCGCCGACTCTATGCTGAGCTGGTCGCCGGTATTTTGGGCGATCTCCATCTCCGCTATGTTCTGGTTGCCCGCCGCCGTCTTTCCGTCCGTCTCGTCCCAGTGTTCGAATTTCGCGCACAGGGTCTTTGCGCGCGCAGCGTTCTGCGCCTGCTTCAGGAACTCGTCCTCCACCTGAAACGCGCCAAGTTCAATTCTCTTTTCCATTCTCCACCCACCTAACCCCTCTAATTCCATTTCATGCAATTATTTATTTATTTACTCCAAATGACCCTTCTCTCAAAATCTTGGCATCATATCTACTCTCAAATTTACCGAACACATATAATTTAATTTAATTTACATAATTTCAATTAAAATTTACTCGACAGGATGTTTACAAATTATATATGGTAACAGTAGCCCCCTTGGCAAACTTAGCAATGGTGTTCCTTTCAAATTCCATGCACTCTTTTAAACAGGCTATTTACACATTAATCAATATTCATTTGCCTCGGCACATGCTTAAAATTTTTAAGAAACTAAAGATGTGCTGAGATTTATTGTCACATTCTTTGCAACCATAAGCATAAGGGGTCATCCTCTCATTGGATAAATAAATAAATAAACCTTGGCACGACGTTAATAAACGCAGCCATTAATCGAGAACAATGGTGGAGGTAAGACGTAAACCGACCTTATCGGAAGCTCGCACGTAGTTGGGATCCCTTTCCTCGTTGCTGTCCTCGCCTTCGGACTCGTCGCCTTCCTCTTCCTCCTCCTCCTCGGAGTCCGAGGCTGTTGGTTTCGCGAATTTGTCCTCTGGAGGCGGAGTGAAACGCTTCAGAGGCTTGGGGCCGTTTGGCAGCTCCGTCTTGGTAGCGTTTTTCTCCATTTGCCTGAAGATCGAGAGCATCTTCCTGGCGGTGTCGCTGTGCACGAACTTGTCCACCCTGTCGTCGGCCCTGACCACGTCAGGGTCTCGGTAGATTTCACGTTCCGGAGACTCCATCTGCTGAAACCAATCGCATACAATCACCAAACGATCAACGACAACGACGTAAATTAACCCTCTATAATCCGTATTACGTTTGGCTTCGAATTGTACGATCGAGCCAAACAAATTTTAATAAACACAAACTTCCAACTGTGCATAGCCTGGAGGTTTGTTAAAATCACTTGTGCGAACGTTCAGAGACGTGGATAATGACGGACTTGCGAGTCACGCGAGGCTATAGAGGGTTAAAATACCGTGTAACCCTTAAAAGACGGATCCTTGCGGGGATAACAATCGCAAGACGCTTATGATTGGCGTATCCGTCGTAGCGGAGGCTCGCGAGAGACAATCTTAAATGCAAAGACACCATAATAGCCAATCAACCCACAACATTCTCTGCACAGAGTTTACATCCACTAACTTGGGTGGAAATGATAATTTTCGTTATCAAATCCCTAGTTTAATTGTTAATACAAATTTTATTCGATTAAAAGCAATATAAATAAACAAGCGTAATTATAACTGTTTACAGACTCTTGACCCCCTTTGAGAACAAGATAATCACAATTATTCCTACGAACGGTACAGCTGCTCCGTAGAACAGACTATTGACCGAAAAATGCTTCCCGTTAGAATTTCGGAGCTCGAGGTGTGAAATGGAAACCCGTCGTTTAAAGGTTGATGATCTCGTGCAACGTAGTCGGTTAAGAGAAAAAAAAAATACATGGAAGAGCGAGCAAGCGTATACAGAGTTTCCAGGGAATCGTAAAACGATCGTTTCTCGTTTAATTTGTTTCCCCAGTCAGGAATCGTGAATCCTTACCTGACGTAATTATTAGTTACGGGGAATAGTGGTGGGGGAGGATTCGAGCGGGCAGTTTAAGCATGGAAAGACCAGACGAGGCAGGAAATCGAAAGAATAGACCTTTCCACGAATCTTTGCCCGGCTGAGTCAGCTCTTCGGAGCGGTTTTATATGCGCGTCTACCCGTCCCCGGTGAATTTCTACCTGGAACGCGTTTTACGACGTTACCTGGCGACGAGAACGTCGACGGAATACGTCTCGTAGTCCCAGGGAAACCGCGAACCCACGCGTCTCGAGACGATCGGAGATTGATAGATTCGCGTTCGAGAGAAAGCTAATTAGTCGGTGCTGCCGGCTTAGAATCTTTATTAATGACGTTTCGCCACTTTTTATTTGGAAAGAGAGGCTTCCAACCTGCCCCGTGAGGAAGATCCATTATACGCCTTTCGCCCCGTTCTCACACGCGCTCGAGACAAAGAGGACAATAGAGGACAACTCTTTCCTCTCTTTCGAAACGGGAGATACGCGCGCGTCGAGTCACGAAACGCGATCGGCGTCGAAACGCACGCCATCGTTCGTGCGCTGGGAAAAAGTTACCCGCGGACCGAGAGGGACCCTTTCCACGGGTAAAAGTACGGTACACGCGCCGAAAGCAGAGGAGAAAAAAAAAAAGAAAGTTTTTCGCCGGCAGAGCCGATCGATTGCTTTCGTCGAAAGGAAAGCGCGCTCTGCATACGCGTTCGCGCGTCGACGGTATCGACGTACACCCGTCGACGGGCTCGAGAAAGCTGGCAATTTCGTTGGCTCGATTCGAACCTCGACGATACCGGAACTTCGACGTCGACGGATATCGGGGCACCGGATGCAGTAAACGAGTTTCGAAAATGGCACGGACGCCTCGACGGCGAGCACACTCTTGTTGCGCGTTCTCGAACGGGCAAAAATGCAAAAAGAGAGAAACGGAATGGAACGGAGCACGAAATACGAGAGTCACGGAACCATCGCGCAAACGGTTTCCACGCGTCTCGGCGTTCCTATCGCGCGAACGATGCTTCTACTCACATTTTTCGTCCGGGGATCTCCGTTGGCCTTGGATCGCGAGACTGCACAACGCGAAACGACGATCGCGATAAATCAGAACACAGAAACGAACGAAATCGAACGATCTCGCGTAGTCGTCGCGATGGTGGCTTTTGTTCCGTAGCCCCGGCGAAGTCCGAACTGGCGGCGTGTCGGCGGTTGCTATGCCGTTCACACGAGGAGGACGCACAGCTCTTACTGTTCCCCCTCGTGAGTTACTGGGAGGGCCACGGTGGTGTGCTCAGCCGCGCCGCGCCGCTCCGCTCCGACCGGCCTGCTCTCTTCACCAATGGAAGGATGTAGGAATACTAACGGTAAAAGTATGGCTGCTGACCACTCGAGGGGGTTCAAGGACAGCCGTGGAAACGAGTGACACTGTGCGCCTCGACAACCGTCGAGCTTTTGCGAGCTTTCCGAACCATCGACTTTTCTCTCTCTTTCTCTCTCTATCCTCATCAGATCGATTATTAATTAGCGGCTGGAATTTTTTTTCTCTGCAACTACTCGCCACGGGCACCATCAAAATCGAACGTTTCGTACGGGATACTTAACAGGGTCCGCTTTAAACAATTTGTTATTACGAACCGGGGGTTGGGAACAATTATCGATTCTTAAACGGCTGTATTAACACTCGTGTTCGAACGCTGTAATGGTGATTCGATATAAATGGGGGAAAAAGATTATTGTAAGTCGAGTTGATTTTCCTTTTTTCGGACATTGATATTGAATTAATTAAAAGGAGTAATTTGTCGACGGTTGTTCCTCGTTGGAAACTGCGATTCTTGAGTGATCATCTGAGTGCAGCATCAATGGACTGTGTGCAGTACAGGATGGGTTTACCGCACGAGGGAAAAAACTACGTATTTGTTGTTTTGTATACTGTTTCTATTATTATTACTCTCTATAGGTTTTGTAATTAGGTGTTACTTGTCTGTTAATATTGCAGAGAAAAAAAATATCATTTCTAGTAAAATCTAATAAAAGTTTTAGGAAAGTAACTGTATAAAAATCCAAAAACATGTTAGAACTGTGTTAAAAGGTAATCAAACCCATAAAAAAATATATAATCGGTTCTAGCCTATATCGATTCCGGTCACGGTTTTTCAGAATCCGATATATGTTATTCTTCGGTGCTATTTCGATTACAAATCGGTTCTGTGTGTGTATTATTTATCGGAATATTAAATATGTATATAAAGCTCCATAAAACAAATTACGACTGTTTTGATACACGAATATGTATTTAATTTGGAAAATAATAAAAATAGTTTGCATTTCCAAACACTGTGAGACAATGAAACAAAAATCTTTATTATAAAATAAAATAATTGTGATGTGAAGTTACGACAAGAAATAAAATTATCGATTTGTTGGTACTGAACAATTATAGATTCGGGTAGGTGGCGACGTCGTCACTGTCGGCAATGTTGGAAATAACACGCAGTACCCCCACTATAGAAATCCAATTGTTTCTCAAAAAATTGAATCAAACGTCCGGATTACTTTATCATCGTCTACGCGCGAATGATCGAATAACTCACAAAGCACTCGAAAGTTACTTTGGCGTACCGATAGCAATCGCCGGGGAGATTCGGGGCGATAATCAGTCCGCCTCGGGTTTAATCTTCTCAATTCCAACGAGTGGTTCGAGCTTATAATAGCGCTGATGAAACTCGTGGGAGGTACTTTGCTGAATAACTATCGCGTCGAATCAATTTAATGTGGGTCACGCAACGATCCGTGCAACGAAACTTAAATACAAACATCGTCCGTAAATATACTTTAATTAAAATCGTCGATGTCCACGGACCTTTCAAATCTGTGGATGAGTATTAAGAGTAAAGATCCCATGCAACAAACTTATTAAATCGACAAATACACGAACGACACACGGCAAACCGGTTAGTCGGAGGGTTGTTAAGTCGTTAGAACGCACTCGAGGACACTCTTGGCACACGAAAAAGGGTGCGAACCTTGACTTGACCGTCGCGCGGAGGGGTAATACGGAACTTCTTCCGTTCTTTTTGCGGTTCCTTGTACGACTCGAAGAATTTGAATTTGTTCGATATGTCCGAGGTCTCGACTTGTACCTCCTCGGTGGTGTCCGAGCTGCGCACCACATCGTCCGAGACTTGGCGTCCCATGAATGCCTTGTTCGTACAGGTTTCAAACGATTAACGACTCGATTCCACGAATATACCCACCGCCAACGAACCGTAGAATCGAAAAATCGAGCTTATAAAAACCGTCTGTAAGAATTCTGCGGACTCGTTCCTTACGGGCTACGTTTCGAACAAAGATGAAACTTACGTCTCTCGCGCGTCGCGGCGTCTCCGCTGGCGTCTTGGGGTTCACGGGGGTCACGGGTCGTCCGGTCTTCGCCGCAGAGGCGTCCAGTTCCAAGAACAGCGATCTAGATTTCCTGCTGATTCCTGCGAACCGACGAATCAGTTATCACTCGTCGCGAACGAGAGTAGAAACGCGTATGAATGGCCCGACGTACGCGCTGCTACATGCAAATCCGTTTCTTAGAAGCTACAATTTCTATTCCAGGATCCTCAACATACGTTTCGTAACAGCCGTTTCAGCGATCGGTTAATTTCGTACACTTGGCACAAAGTTGCGCGTCTCGAGAAGCGGACGCGACTGCTCGAGAGAGAACACGTTTACACGCTACAATGTCCATCTTCGTGACTCGAATACATTCTTCCTGTACGGCTAGACAAATTGGAAATTTCTGAGGATGGGAAACGCTGGTCCAATCTCTACGCTTCAAGATATCTTCGTGGACTTTGGTTCTAAGCTTACATTTTTGTTGCAATCCTCTTTTAGGTGGAAGTTTAAAACATATGCGAAATCATTTGAATCGTCATCATTTTGGAATTATTTTAATTATGTGCTCTACGCTTGTGAAAAGTCCAAACTTTACGAGTTCCTTTCTAACCATATACAGGGTGTTCAGTCACCTTTGAAAAGTATTTGAATAGGAGATTTTAGAGGCCAAAATAAAACAAAAATCAAGAATACCAATTTGTTGATTGGGGCGAAATTAAAAAATTTCAAATCGTTCTGGAAAAATTATTTTCGGTTGCGGGGGTCAATTACAATCATTTTTGGTGAATAGACATACCTCCGAAATCCTACGCACTTTCAAGAAAAAAATTCGTGTAGATGTACAAATTTTATTAACAATTTTTTTAATAACTTTTTAACGAAGCTTCGATCAACAAATTGGTATTCTTGATTTTCGTCTTACTTTGGCCTCTAGAGGGGTGGCCGAATACCCTGTATAGGTGACACGATTTTTCATGGAAGGAACTAAAAAATTCAAGAGATTGGATGCTAAAGAAAATAAATCTAGGACTGCTGGAATTTGAAGGAAGTTCCATGAGAAATTGTGGCCAGTTTCCAATAGTCTAGGAGCAGAGTTTCGATCTCATGGCTAATTCGAGGAGTGTGGTCCGGCGGAGAAATTGTTAAAAAATGAGAAAAGAGAAACGACACGGTCGAGAGCGCTGCCACGGGGGGTTGACGAGCCCCGTACATTGTAGCAGATTCAGCGATCGCTGAATGATCTCGTCTCGAGTTGAATCCGCGCGGCTAATCAGATCTAACGGTTTCTAAATATACACGACCGGCGAACGCACCTGCTGCGATCACTTCCTCGTCTGCCTTCTCCGGTTTCGGTTTACCGTCCGTCTCGTCGTCGGAGGCGGCGATGGGCTCGCCCCTTTCGAATCGTTCTTTGATGGAGCGAGCGTGGGTGGCTGAGTGCTGGATCTCCTCCGCCGCATTGATCTTCGTCACGCGCTCGCTTCCGGCTACCGCCTGCTGGTACATTTCCTTCATTTTACCCTGTTTGCCCTGCGACAGAAACCCATATCCGGTGAGCGGAACCCACTTTCCCGCGCGTTCCATCGAAATCCGTCGTCTTCGCCCGCGAGGATCCTCGAATCGAGAATATCGAGCGCTGGTAATGCTTAATCGACCCTGAGCTGTTGCAGATCCGGCACGAAACGTATTAATAACGCTCACCTGGAGCAACTATGTTACTTCATATTAAGAAGAAAATTGTTACGCGGCACGATTCGCGTCGTTCCACAAATCGTTTCGCCGTGCACGCGTAACGCGCGTTCTTGAGAGAACGTGCGCCACATTTTCTTTCCGCGGAAACTTTTTCCGCGTCTACGTCTAATGGGCACGATGTCATTACCCCGGACTACTTCGCGAGCGATTTAGTCGTTCTACGAATTAACCGGAACCGGTGGTCTTTTCTTCTCGCGCGCGCGCGCGCGCTCGCGTCATCGGGTTCTGTGCCCCGCGACGCATCGGTCCGCTCGGATCGGCGCCGGTTCAACGAGCCCGAGAAGGAACGTTACCATGAACAGCCGCGAACGAATCCCGGCGATCTCCTCTTTCCTGGCCTCGCGTTGCACCTCGCGTCTCCCCTGCTGGCTGGTCGACTCCCAGCGGTTCTTTATGTCGTCCATTTTGGTGAAGCTTATGGGACGCTCGCGGGTCGAGCGTTTCGCCTTCACGATCTCGCTGTCCACCTCTGCAACAAAACGCGGGGGAGGTACGATTTAGACTCGAACAACTGTTCTGCGAGGAGAAGAAAAGTTTGCCTGTTACTCGAACGAAAGAAGCTTCTTTCAATTTTACGAGGAGGGTAAAATATATTTTGGGGTCAGTTTATAACAGAATATTATATCGAAGAGTATAATTAAAAAAAAAAAGATTCTTCGACCAGGGATTCGAACCCACGACCACGGTGTTACGAAGCAAAGTTCGTTTTCGACAGATATAGTCATGTTTTATCAAATGAAACCCGGTAATAGCTTTAACTGTAAGTTGTTTACCTCCAAAACCGATTATTGTTAACGACCTCTCCTTAACTCGAACAATAATTTTAAAAACAAGGAAAGTCTTGGAAAGAAAATGAATCGTTGCGCATTTTTATCAAAAGGAAGAGAGCCGTGGGGGGATTTAAATACCCCGATAGGAACGTTCGAAGAGTCGAAACGTTCCCCGGTTGGCTCGCGTTAATTATCATGCGCGCAACGTAGCCGTATTCAACGTATCTTTATTCCATCGGGTAAAAGAAAAGTAATTGTACGAGGACGTTTTATCCCACACTCCCTTTGCGCCAGGCAGTCAAACTTTTCAATACTCCCGGTTCCATCGAGTGGGAGGAGGTCGCAAAAAGAGCTACTTCTCTCAAGGAAGTGCTCCAGCCGTCGTTCGAACAAAAGGAATACAAAAGGGGGAAAAGAGGAGAATACTCGAAACATCAACAGCACCGGATTCCGATTTGAATTAAATGTTTCTCTGTTCCTCACCCTCCGACTCCTCGATTTCCTCCTCCTCCTCGCTCTCGCTCGACTCCTCGTAAGGGATTCCATTCAGCGACTCGTCCGCCACTCCGATATCCATGCCTTTGGCCTGGAATCTGGACAGAAAGACGCGCAATGTAGTCGTAAACATTCGTACGAATATCTACGGTCAACGCGGGGTAACACAACGGCGGTCGCGTCGATGCTTTCTCGCGTTATGATCGAAACAACGTCGCGCAAAGAAAACCGCTGATCGCGTTCGAACGCCGCGTCGCGCGTACTCTCGCAATCGCTGCAACGATTCTACCGCTCCGGCGAGTTCATTTTTCACTCCACTGTTCTATATTAGCCAGCCTTGCCTTGCACATTTTCGAGTGACACGGCAACTTCTGTCGGCGGCATTTGATCGCGTTACTTCACCATCTTCTGCCTTTAATGCGTTTCGTTTGCCTCGCTGTACGGGATGGAATGCGATTTACGGTATAAGAAGCACGTATTATTACGATGTTACGACGTTCAGCGATGGATTCGAACCATCCGCGAAAAACAAAATTCTTTCTCTGTTTTCTAACTGCTGTACAGTTAAAATCGCCTGTATTTATTGGAAAGATCCCCCCCAGTTCGAAGGGGTAGAAACGTTTAACTTACGAATCATCAGACAACGTTACGAGAGCTTAATGTAGCATTTGCAAGTAAATTATTTACGTTTTGTGTCGCGATAAACTATAGCGCTTGTCTTCTTGGCCCTTTTACGGCATAAGAAAGGATCGGCGACGCGGCGATCGACGCTACCGAGAAAAGCGTCGGCCTAAAGCCAACACAGAGTCCTCGTTGTGTCCAATTCGTGGAAACGAATCTGTGTCACGGCTGAGAACCATCTCCTCGATCCGAGCAACGACGTGTCTGTACATGGTCGCGAAAGATCGAGGAGAGAGTGAGGCCAGTACCGATTCGATCGCGATCAGGTGACGCGAGACCGTCCGAAACGCAGATTACTCACTTGGCGAGTTTGCTGAGGATGCTGGGTGACCTCTTCACCGCGATCTGCGACGGCGACCTTTCGATCTCGTTCGCCTCCGCGCCAGCCTTTTCGAATACTTGGAACCGGGACTTCACGTTCAGGCTCGACAGTTCTGCGAGACCCAGGTCCGGTTTGTCGGAGGCTGCAACGAACATCGGAGAACGTTTTCGTTGGATAGAATTCAGGACTTTTTGCGTAAACTCGCAACAAACACACACAACGGCAGGCAACGCGACCAGATTCCACTTTCGTCGATCTTCGACAAAGTTAATCGGGGGGCCAGTCAGGCTTAATTTTTATTCCTTCCACAACAGAATCTTTATCTTTACTTTCCAAAATTCTCTGGCTCATAACAAATTTTTTTCGCGACTAGTTTTACAATTTGTTTCGAAGGGAGAAGCCTCCCCCTTTCTGATGCACGATTTTTCTGTTCACGTGGAAACACGATATGAAAAACGCTCGTCCCCTTTGAAAACGGAGCGGTTGAATTTTAGGCGATCCTGCGCGAGCTTTTTCAAAGGTCCTGTCGAGTTTTGGTGCTCGTGCTGGCATTACAACCCTGCATCTACGATTTCTCCCCGATCGATCGTCCAAACTGGTCCCGTCGGTTTTAAATTGGACGGTGACGTTCGGAGCGATCAATACCGAACAATCTGCGAATAGCATCGCGGTTCCAGACTGCATCCTAGATTCGAGCGGAAAATATTGGCCGTTCAAGGTCGCTTCCCTCACCGCGAGCCATGTCAACCACGACCCTCTACTCCCGTGCCCAGCGGCAGTTCGCCTTCCTATTTAAGAGACAGGAAACCCCCTGCTCGGTCTTTCTGTCTTTCGAATACCGTGGGGCGAAGCGTAATCTCGGTTGCAACTGGGTAAACTGCGTGTTAATGGCAATTCATGCGGTTACGAATACCACGAGACACGTTGCAATCTTCGTACGATTGATCGAAGAAACGAATCGAACGAGTTTCGAGGTTAAAAATCAAAAGGGCGTGAATGGTATTAGAGGCGTAGTTAGCAAACTGTTAGAAAACGGTTAGAAGCCACTCTCGAGCGACGGTTTTACCAAAACTTTTCACACTCTGTCAGACTTTACCTCTGACCACATCGGGCGGCAGCTCTTTCGGCTCGTTCTCCCTAATGATCAGCTCCGGCTTTCGAGGTCGCACTACGGAGTTCAGAAGACGTCTCTTTGTCGCATTAACGATCTCTCTGCTGATTCGCGTGTAATTACAGAGGGGAAGGGGAAGGGGCCAGAGGGGCAGTAATTTCAGCGACTACAACAAAAGGGGTCCGACGCGGAATATACGAGCGTTTATTTCACCCGCTCGTCCGACACGGCAATCGGATTTCCTTCGACGAGGGTCCCCGTCCTTCGATTCTTCCCTCCGCTACGCACGCTGGACCAGAAACTCGAGAAACCATCCATCGTTCTTTACAACTAATTTCAGGACTTTGGTACATGTGATGGGCTTGTCTCTATTTTTGTTTTGTAATTTAAATATGAAAGTAAATAAGTATATTTTAATAATCTTCTGCACGTTTATTGGGGCGTGTTTTATTTTTTGCAAAAGTATTTAAATCGATTTCTATTGTATACCATCGTTGATCCAGGCGACAAAAGACGACGACCTTTGTTTCTTTTTTTTCCTCAGACTACCGTGCCCGGTGTATAAAGTATGTTTCGATGAAGGTATGCACAGGCAATGTCCGCGAAATCCAGCGTTAAAAACGAAAGTGGTCTCGGAGGCTGGTTAATGTTTAAAGTCCCGGTGGAACGGGAGGATTAAGACACGTTCCCGACCTTACTTGCGCAGGAGCGATCTCGCGCGACGGTTGTTTACGTCCGCGCGGCTGATTCAAAGCCGTGAACGAGGGGAAAAGGATAAAAAGGAGCGGGCGTTTCGGTGGAAACGGCGGATCCGCGTTTCGAATCGCGTACTCCCGTGGCGGCGGATATCAAAGCGACCGGAAAGATTCGCAGATTAGACCCGGAGGCTGGTTATTTTAAGGCGAGTTCCGCCTACGTACGCCGCGAGATCGTAGCCCGCGCGCACCGTGTGATCGACTTACCAGGCTGGTCGGACTCTTCAACCGGTTTCGGTTGGAAGAGCTCCTTGAAGTGTGGCTTACAGTAAAGCGTGCTCTCGTGGCTCTCGTAATTGTCGACGTTAAGCTGCTTGCTACACTGGACGCACCGGAAGCAATTCTTGTGCCAGACCAGACCCTCGGCCTTTGTCTGTTCCATTTGGAAGACGACCTTGCCGCAACTCCGGCAGTTTGGATTCGTATCGCCATTCTGTGCCACCTGCTGTCAAATTCGATTATTCCTTTCTTCCCTTCTCCACGCCATCGTCCGACTATACTAAATTTACTCGAAAGAGGAATCGTTCCTTCAGCCGCGTTCACGAGAACCCTAAAAACAGGCGATTTTACGATCTTCGAGACTTCGAAACGAGCCTTGAAATATACTTGAAAATTTAAAAAATTCAGCTTGAAACTGAGAGGCAGTTTGCAGGTTCTCCGCGGCTGAAGGGTTCTTAGCCAATTTCTAAGTATCTCGAGGAGCGCTTACGGCGTTCAGCTGCTGTTGAACTTTGCCCGCGTCGATCGAGCGCACGTGGAGGACCGTCTTCTTGCTCAGAGCGTCGAATTTATTGAAGCTCGACTTCTGTAAACACAAACGGCAAAGGCGTCAAGCGGGAAAAGCTCGAGAAAATCCGGGGAGGCTTCTAGTCGTCGGGGGGAGAAAAACGCGGTGGATTCGCGGTGTTTCGATCTAGCCTCAAGCTTGTTCAGCGTGAGCGTAAAAGCGTGTCCCTTTGCATCGAGGGTAAACAAGATAAATATTGCGTTTCTTCTTAAACGTCTGCACGACGACGCGGACGTCCGTGTTGGATCGCGGGTCGGTGGGGCTAACAAAAGGCTATCTCGTGCGAGAATTGGGTGCACAAAGATTCCCAAAAACAGAACAGAAGAGGGAAACGGCGTGGCCTGAAAACTTCTCCAAACGGTCACTCGTATGTTTCTCGAAAAATTCTGAAACTTTGGGGACATACAAATATTTGCAATTCGATTAAAAAGCAATATACATCTGCAAAAAAAACTGGTCTTTCCACTCCCCCAAAGTTTCAATCATTTTTTAAATTTCTATACTTATGAACGACAGCGTAAGTTCGAACGAATCGAGACCATGGATCTCGACTTGGTTTCGCGTGTTAGTATCGATACCAAAAGAAGAAATCGAATGCAATCGTGTATTAGCGTATTACGGAAGCGGTTTTCGGGAACGAACAGATGCAAAGGTTGCAAGGCGAAAGCGACCAAGGTAGAATAAAGCTGAGCAGATATAGAAAGCTCGGTTAGGAATCGACCGTATCGTGGTTATCTCTTCCAGGGGGGTGGGGCTTACCTCGAACCTCGGCCGATCCGTGTCCTTACCCTCGCTCGTTAAGTTTGCCAAACTACAGTAGGAAGCCCTCTGTCCCGAGGAGGTCGGTATCGTAATTTTCGGTTAATGTTTCATGCACGGCCGGGGAGGGCACACCAAACAAAAAAGAAAGAAACAGCACGGGCTGTGGGTTAGTGTCGCGAGCGAAATGTATTCCGAAGCGTTTTGCACCTTCGTTCTCGTGTGTCGGAGGATCCAGAGGTCGGCGAGTTGCGAAATTCGCCTCGGATCGACGCCCGTTTCTCTTTCGCGAATTTCTAGACGCCGCTCGAGCTGAAAATTACTCGATCCGGCCGCGAAACGTCTTGGTTTCGTTCGTGTTTCCAACGAATTAACTCGTTATCTAACGTTACAGCCCCATGCGCCACTCTCTGCGCCAGTGTTTTTCAAAATGACTAGATTCGATATTAAAATATCTACATTGATGGACTAATTGTTTGCAGGCAGATTTTATTGTTACTTGCACTTTTATCTCGAGGCACTACGTATCTGTATCTTTTCACTTTTGAAACGTATCTCTTGAGTAATTTGCAACACGATGGGCTAATAAATTTTGTAAATTTTTTTGGACATCAATTTTCCGTTTTCTTAGGAGTTCCAATGATTTGAAAGGCGCTGTGACCTCGCGACCCGACTCGAGAGCCTCGAGCCAAATAGGTCGCGTCGGGCACCGGGCGTTAATTCGAAAGAATTTCGCGACGACGAAAGGGTCGTTAATAAAGAAATCGCGCCGACGCAATGGCATCAGCCCGGGGATACACCGACACTTGCCAATTGTCCCGATACGAATCTCGCCAACCGCTGCATCGCCCCGCGGAGAGAGAAGAAGAAAAGAGGACGAAGGAGTTAGAACGAGATGGGAGAACATTCGGAGACAGCTGGAATATCGTTTCCCGCGGCCGAGCTTTTCGCTCGAAACGGGCACCCGTTCGTTTTGGGCGCGATCCAGACGACCGTTCCTCGATCGCGAATCGGAATTCAAAGGTTCGTCGACGCGCGATCGAACGAGAAACCGATTCCGCCGACGATTCACCGCGGCCGAGAAATTATGTCACACGACGCGAAATCCGTAACCGGATAACCGATAAACGACGGATACGCGGCGAAAAAACTCGCAAGACCTCGATTCTTAGTCGTCACCGGCTACAAAGTGGGGCAAATGAGCAGTAGGTTATTATCAAAGCCGGCCCTCCCTTAAATGGAGAGACAGCATTCATGGCGTGACGGCGACCGACTCAAGAGCAAAACGCGCCTCTCGAACGAGCGTACTCGAGCGGATCGCTCACGTGCACGCTCGGGGATTCGCGTCGGAATCGATCCTTTGCCGTCCAATCTTTGCCTTGGCTGTTATCGTTTCGAAATCGAGTCGAATCTCGGGCAAAAAGTGCCTCGGAACCGAGAAAGAAGCCGTCTCAACTTTACGAGGATATTCAAGGTATGAACAATTACTCCTACTCGTATTCGTATACTATAATGGTGATTATAAATGGGGGAAAAAATTGTTTCTTCAAGTTTATGTAAATTAGAATAGAAACTTGTCAATGGTGGTACCTTGTTGGATATACTTGACTTTCGTTCGGTCATCGAAGAGCAGCTGTATTGGAGTGCAGTACAGGATGAGGATTACCGCTCGAGAAAAAAAAGCCGTATTAATAAGTATTATTTTTCAATTGGACATTACTACTTACTCCTATTAATATTTAAAAACAAAAAAAAACAACAGTGTAATAAACAAGATTTGATAAAAATAAATCGAAATAATTCCACTATACTATAGCGTACGAATAACAGTGGGAGGAGTAACTGTTCAAGTCGACACCTTGAAGAAATCCCCATAAGTGATGGAGGAATGAGTCAATATCTACTATGCAAGCGAATAATATCAAATTTGGATCTATTGATCTCGCGTTTGGACGGACGCACGTCGCCTGGATCGTGTTCCGGTGGATCTGTCGCTAATGGATCCTAGCCGTCTCCGATGTTACCCAACAGGTTCACGAAAGGTACTTACGAGGGCCTTGACCGACACCCCGGTGAAGACGAGCGCGTCTTTGGTGAACTTGGAGTAACCCTTCTCGCATAATCGCAGATCACCCAGCGACCTTGCTTTCTATGATCGTCGGGAGCGTCAACGGGAACTCAGATTAGCGGTAAGTTGCGGACAGTTACGCGGAGTGGCGAGCTTTGTGAAATCTTCCCCCGTCGATACAGATTTCCCGCGATAACTCGAGGAGAAAATCGGTCGTGAATAGACACCCCCGTGAACGTCAACGATCGAATCCCCGGGCGAAGGGCACAAAGCTCGTACTCGTCGCGCGATTAGTATGCTGTTACGATAATCAGGAATTAAATTATTTGTCCGCCGTCCGGTTAATCCTATCGCCAACACAACGCGAAGCGAACGAAGGAACCACCGTGGTCGGAGCTCATGCAATAATAACTGTTAATAGGACTGTCATTCCTGTCGTACACGGCACATCGGATGCTGAGCAATATGCTACGAACGAACACCAATTACGTTCGAGGCTGTCCCGAACGAATTGAATCGATTCAACGACGACTGTTTAAATCGAAACGTCCGAGAGACGCTGGTTACGGGCGTTAATAAAAATCTAAACGATTCTCGGGTCTGTTATTCAGCGGACTTGCTCTCGAACTAAAAATAATAATAAAAAATCGACGGTTTTTACCGGCTCTCGTGCTCGTTAACTGCTCGTTTCTCGAAATCCCGAATCATCTTTTCGAATTAGCGACACCGGTCGTCGCGCTCGTTCGTTCCGTTAGGAGACGCGGACGAACCAAACGAGACCATTCGAGAAAGAGCAAAGCCACGCTAATCGATCAGGCTACGAAACTAACGATCGAGAAACCCGTGTGGCGCGATACGAACGATGATGACGTGATATACAAACCTCCTCGGTCTCCATCGTGTGATTGGCTTTCCCGTACGCCGTCTGATCGCCGTCGCTCATGCTCGAGATGTCGCCAAAGCTACGACACTGTTAGTGACAACAAAATACAACTGACAAAAGTGTATCGACAGCCATCGAAGCGGTTTTGTCTCGTCAGCCGGGGCGTATCGAGCGCCTCTCGCCAATAAAAAATAAAAAGAAAAATGTTTATATCCAGTAAAAGAAAAAAAAAAAAAACTTAAGCGTATCGTACGACGCGATACACGTCGATGCACGACGGAAGTGGTAAGCGAAGAATCATTGAATTCTTGTTTGCGTTACTTACCAACTGCTTGATCGACACGCCGGTTGCAATCTTTTCCTTCATAGATCGATCCTGCTCGTGTCGAGTCGCCTCCGATACATATGTCTGTGTCTGCATGCACAAAATACAACGCACAAAGCTAATCACATGCGAATGGGACATACGGATGTGTCACAAATTCTACTTGCGTTCTTTCGTCGAACGTGGTCAACGTCTACGATCGTAGCTGGGTGAGTCTCGATCGCGACCATTCGGGATAAACGATTCGACGTTGCACGTTTGGCGGTTCGTTCGAGCAAACATTCAAACTTTCTCCTATTCGGAATTAATAACCCTTGGATATGTTATGGTAATGTAACAAAAATGGGAACGAATTGCGAGTGAGCGTTGTTTAAATACGTATACCGGTATGTATAGGTGACTTTATTACAACGTAAGTTATGTTACACAAAATGGCCACGATTGGTGAGGGGTTAAATCTAATCAGAAGTCGATTCGACCAACGACCAAACGTACAATTTATACAAGACCCATTTTTATCCATAAACGAATCATCTTCCAAGATAAGATGCAAATGAAAGTAGCTCTGATCTCTAAGAAACTGCAAATTGAAAGACGAGATTGTTTCTAAATAAATATGGGTACAGAGACATCGATTACGCATGCAATTGCGAATAAAATGTAACGAGGGTTAGTGAGTACTCTAAATGCAGTCTCTAATAGAAGGGTCGATCGCGAATACGTACTCGGGAGGCAAAGGGAGGGACATTGAACGAGCGTTTTAGTATGTACACGATGGTTTGAAAAGATATCTGAGCGGTTTCTCGTTGTACCCTCGTAAGTTCGATCTCTATCGATCGTCGAGGAAATCGCGATCGTTTCGGTGTGAACCGCGCTTTCTCGCCCCGACGATTAAACGAGCAACGTAAGAGAAAATAAAAATACAAACGAATTCCTCGCACGCGACTTCGGATTCCTCGGTCGGTTGCGCGAGAGAACGCAAACGGGACACGCGAGGCCGCTTCGACGTCGCGACGTCCTAACGAAGAACGACGCGAATCGAATTCGATCATGGACAATTTGCGCCTGGGTTCCCGTACGAGCGAAAATTGCAGCCACTTTGCGCGTCTCGCGTGGAAATCTCTTTGGCGTCGCGAGAAACACTTGGTTCTACCTCGGCCGTCTTCGTTCCCGGGACCGATTCGCTCCTCTTCGGAGATTCGAACTTACCAGAGACTTGACGTTCACGTTCGACAGATCGTCCTCGTTCGAGAAATCGTGCGTTTCCGGATGCATTTGCCGGGAACCGGTGTGCATGCTCGGCTCTCGCAAGTTAGAGTTCTAGCAAAACAGAGAAACACGCGCACACTGTACATGCGACCGATTGCGTTGCGTTCAACGGTTGTTAAAAAGTTGTTAAAAGATCGTCCGGGGCACGCTGGCGCTCTTCTTTCGGGCATTCCGACCGTTTCGCGAACCGTTTCTGCTGAGATCATCGGCGATCGCCGGCTTCCGGTACCGATTCGTTCCGGTCAACGACTTCCTCGTCGATTCCTGACCACATCTTCGAGGTGAAATTGTTGAAAATTTGTTAATATTGTATTATTTTAGTATTTCTCGAGAGATCCATTTTACTTTGAATATCATGCTCATGAACGATTACCGATGTAAAGGCGTAGACTACGCCTATAACCCTGTACGGAGAGAAACTGAAGGGGTTGGATTACCCGGAAGACTCGTAGGTAAAGGTGGTTCCGGACGATACTTTCCGCGAGGAAAATTCCCAGACGCGTCGGAATGCCCAAAAGTTCCGACTGTTTTGTACGCGCGGTCGATTCCCCGCGAGACGATTACAGGTAAAACGCGTAAAAGTCGGTAGAAATCTCGTTTCGTTTCTGTCGGAGCGTCAATTAAAGTGAAAATCCCGTGGAAACTATCGCGGTGGAATCGACGCTGCATGCAAACAAGGATTCGCGTACGAGCTTCGGATTTTCGTCGTTCGACGATCGTTCGTAATGGCAGTGGATGCTCCGAGTGCTAATTAACACGATATAACGGTTCATGCACACCGTATTTATACCCACGCTGCGTTTCCTGTCTCTCGTAGGGTTCTCGATCTCGATTCGATCGTCTTTGGCGCTCGACATCTGCTGTTCCCGTGTCTCCTCGTCTCTCTTTGATCCGCTCCCACGAAACAACGCGAGTAATCCCGGGTATCCTGGTCGCTCGCGACACGAATCTCTACCCTGTAGAAAATTAACGAACGCGCCACCGACGCTCGTCCACTTACCACGGAAATGTTCTCCTTCTCGAGCTCGCTTTTCTTGCTCTTCTTGGTCTTCTTTGTACGCGGGGTAAGGTTCGGCGAGGCATCGTTCCCGGCAACGCCCTCGATCTTCTTCTTCTTCGTCTTGCTTCCACCCTTCGCGCTCGACGAGGTGACCACCGACGCCGTCGTTGTGATCGTCTCCTCGCGGCTCTCACTCTGCGTTAAAAACAATTAAAAACATGTAGTTTTTATGTCTTCGCTACACCTCAACAATTCCTCCCTAGCAAATCGGTCGAGATACAAAACCCTACTTTTTCTCTTTTTCTTAATGCAACATTTACATTACAATTTTCAACGTTTAACCCCTAGACGTACTATTTGATTCCAAATAATTTTTAACTTTGGCCAGGAAAAAGAATAAGACTCGATGACGAGTAGCCTCATGACTGTGAAACTTGACGTCAAGAACTTGTTTATTTAACGAATAAAGTTCTTCTTAATATAAAGAATTATACATAAAATGTAAGAAGGATGTACAAACACGTCCAGTAAAGACGATTTAAAAGAGATGAACGACTAATCGAAGAAACGAATGTTTTTTATTTAAAGTAAAATTAAAGACCGGGTGACGGTCGTACGATTTTCCTAACAACGTCCCGTGGATTTCCACGGCCCAGGACGGAGATACGCATCCGGAGGGAGGAGCGTCTTCTCGAAAGTTGCGAAAGATCGAAGGTAGAATCGTTAATAGCAGCGATCTCGCGACGTCGAGCCTGGAACGAAGGATTCGACCTCCTTCGGCGCGTTTTTCTCTGGTCGTCGAGCGCGGCTGTCGAATCGTTTTCTTCTTGTACGCGACGATAAGCGGATTTCCCATCGAGGAGCGAACTTTTTCGCGGTCGTTTGTTAAACGAAGGCTGACGAGCGGCCTACTATTTTGCATATCGGGAAGGTGACACTGGAGCGTCCGGTGTAATTGCATAGTCTCTAAAGTAAATCGAAAACAACCTGTGTGTGCCTCGAAAGTGGATCTACGGATCTCGATCGCCCGTTAAAACGAGGTCAAAATGGGGGGGAGTAAAAAAAACATCAATGGAATCGATTCATCGTCGAGCGAAGCCCATTTATGGCCGACTTCTCCGTGTCGCGGCTGTGGGATTGTAAAAATTCCATTCTACGAAGCATAGTTATCGTTTGGTAATTCCGGTCGCGTTCGTCCACGGATTAGGTTAAAGGATGCTTTCGTTCGGAATCGATCGGTCACTTTCCTCGACTAATGCGCGCGCGTGCTGCATCGCGATCAATGAGCACAACTCGTCGAGAAAGAGAGTGAGTGTCGTGCATTCCATTTCCACGCGTTAATAAGGTATTAATGAACGGATAGATACGAATCGTGCCGTCTACCGATCGCCGCGCTTAACGACCGAATCGCGTTTACCGTGAACTCAGCTGCCCAGACCTGCGTTACTCTATTAGATAACAATGCATTTCTGAATCATCGTTGCAAAAAACATCGTACGAAATTGAGTGTTACGAGCGCGAAAGCTTTCATGGAGCACAGAATTTCTTGCTCTACATAATTACATAACGATCGATTGCCAGTCTCTATCGAAACTCGTCCAGTTTAATCCAGATTTATTGAAAGGAACATTAATCCTTTTACTTTTTTATTTATTAGTTTGAGTTACCTCTGTTATTATAAATTCAGATATGCATCGATAAACTGTTACATTTACGTATGCCAGTGTGAACTATATAGCCGATCCCTGAAATAACCCGATTGAATGTCCACTTCCGGTGTCGATCGTTGGGGCACCGCTGTATTTATTCTCCTATCGTCGTCGACGTTCCCGAAACGTTGAATTTCTCAATCGACGGACACTGGAATTTCCTTGTATCTTAATTCTATACGTTTTATCGTTCGTTCGCGATAAAAGCTTCTTTCTCGTGGCTCGTTACGCGTTCCGTCGAAAATTCATAGATAAAGGAGGCTTCGAACAGCGGAAGGATCGTGTAAACGACGCCCGCTGGGTCGACAGATAAGCGACACCATTTTACGAGCTTCCAAAATACAACGGTGATTTTCTCACGGTGATTTTTATCGTCGTCGTTACGCCTAATGCATTTCCGGTTAGGGTATCGTTCACCGCACGTCGATCGCTGGACTAAGAAACTGTTTGACTGATATCTCGAGCGTAGGAAATGGAAACTTCGCTTCGCGATCCACGATGCGCAATAATCTTGACGTTTTCGCTTTAATTGACACGATCGCTGAGGATAGTAATTACCGTTCTGTTAAATATTCATAGACGGAGTCGAGCGTATCGATCTCGCCGCGGGTCGTATTTATACGTCGATCTAAGAGTACACGGGGTTGTACGAAGCCTCTGCAGACGGTGATCCAATTTGTCCAATTACGTCTACATTTTATGTATTCTTAATTGCGAGAAAAACAATAAGCCCTCGAGCAAACGGTAACATGTAATATCTCGATAAACGTTACGGCGATACCGATTTCGATAAGATCTTGCAGCTCCGAGTGGGATTGAGACCACTGACGTTTGACTTACCGCTTGCCTTCAACGTTATAAACGGTGGTGTAATTTGTCCTGAGATTCTAGGACGTTTCAAATTAAATGTACTCTCGCCATCTACAAAGATACGCACTCTCCTCGAACGGAAAGCTCATCGAACACTTTACAGCGATCGATTCTTTTAGCTCCGTATCCGCCTTTGGAATTTCATTTATCTCGTCAAACTTCACCCAATGGTCTGTTCTATTTGTACCCGTAAATAAGTAAATAAATAATAACGATGATCTAACGAAGAGATTTTAGGCGCGGATCTAGGCAAGTCGGCGTCGATCCCGATCGAGGTACCGCGTACCAGCGCTCGTCTTCCGCGAACGAATCTTAATTACACCAGTGGCGAAAGTCCCAAGGAGCGCCGTGATGCCGCGGGATTCCTTTTGGTCTGATTGCCTCTGGACTTAATGAAGAGATCTCGGAGCAAATTAGTTACGTGGATCGCCGCCGCCGTCGCGCTCGCCTGTACCAACGACGACTTTATCGCGATCTTATTATTAGACGATAAGAGGGAACCCGGTGATCGGGCACAATGCTTCGTTACCCCGGCGTCGCTTCTTCGCGAGCGAGCGAGGAGAGACACGTAATTACGGGGGCCACGTAACTCGAGGAACCCGATTCGAAGCGGCGATTACGGCTGCATTCTTTCTCGAAAGGCAGCAGAGGAGCCTTTCAAAAGTCACGCAGCCACGTTTCCCCGGGACCGGTACGATCGCGTGTTCTAATTAATATATCTCTCCTCTGTTCCTCCGTGGATCTTTCAGCCGCTTGGGAACGATCGGAGACGATCGTCGCGCGCGGTCCCCCCCGAAGAATAAAGATGGTCACGGTGAACGGGAACAGTCGAAGAACTTTCGTAACGCGTTAGACGAGACTTTCTAATTCGCTGTGCGACGCTACCGATTCACTTTCACAAATTCGGATTAGACGTCGGACGTTACCGACTTTCGGGACTCGACTCAAACTGGAAATAGAACGGGCTCCAGCTGCACGAACCTCGAACTAGGGGATCCCAACAACGAGATCTACGCGTAGTACTGGACGAAACTATGTAAGGACACTTTCTGGGCTCGCCACCAGAGGGACACGCACGACACTTTTCTCACAAGTGCTCGACCACCCTCCAATTCCTGTATATACACTGCTCGATCGACCGTCGAGCGTCCCGGCGTCTGACGCTGGCTCAGGACGAAGCTCACCCCTTTCCTTTCTCTCACTACACAGTAAGAAGCCACGCTATCCTAATTTGTTACATAAAGGGAGCAATAATATAAACAAATGTGATGCACTTTATGGGTGGAATAGAATGATCAATAGTAAAACCCTAAAAAAGGCTATATAGGCAACACGATTTAGCTTGCCAAACAGAGGATAACAGTAACTACTTCAACGTCAGATAAAATCGAGTCAATATTTGACAACACGAGTATAGGTTGCGATAGCTACTGATATTTTCAAGTATCGTAGGATGACAAAGAGATACCAAGTACCATGTGCTGAGGGTACACACCTGTAAAGCTCCGAGGCACCAAACGCACGAACTAACCACAGTTTACGAAGAACACAACACCGGAAGTTTAGAAAAAGCTTCGACGGAACCACGCGACGTTTGATAAGACGACAAAGATTCTTGGAGAGAGGATTCGAAGTTGATAGAAGAAGGAACTGCTGCGGGGTTCGCACGTACCGTGGAAAATTGTTGGTTCCATAACACGAGCCACGTAGATCCGTAACGGCGCACTTTCCCGCACGTTGCGTACACTAACGATTTCGGGCACACACCGGTTCCGGGGTTCCCCGCGGCGGATTATCACAGACACGACGGCGAGCAGCGGGGGAACTGGTCCCGAAAATTGAGGAGTTCAAAGGACCCTGGCCACCCACTCGGGACGACAGCGCGCGTCTACCTTGGCAACGAGGTCGACGAAAGCCCACGGAAGAACGACAGAGATCGAGAGATCGGAGAACGAGGGAAGGGGAAGCGTTATTTCTCGAGCGCCCTGGGACCGGCTGGTTCCCTTGCCGCTCGGACGATCCCGCTCGATACCGATCGAAATAACACGGAATTGTAATAAAGTGGGCCACTAAAGTGGGAGATAAAACGGGACATAAATTATCTGCAAATTGGCAATTAAAGGTTCGAGAAGAGGAGCGGGGTTGGCTCGGCGAAAAAACCTGCGAACAAACACGCACAGCGTGTGTACGGGCCCGAAACAAGTATTTAACGAGCACCGGGGGGATTGGATTCGCGGCGAATAGGAACGAATTTAGGCGTCCTACCTGGCTGATGATCATCCTCGACGTGCGGCGAACAGAGGATCGAGCAAAGGTTCGGGAACCGGCAGATCCACGACTCCGGAGATGTCTGCGTCCGGAGAGACTAGGTTCAGGAAACTCCGGTGCTCTCCAAAGCGTGGACAGTCGGGAGGAAATCGTGGGGATACGGTGGATTTCCGCGATTGGCCGTTTCCACCGGACACCGGGAGACGGTTGGCCGCGTACGTGTGGCCAGGTGAAACACGAGGGGAGCAGACGGTGCTCAGCCGGCAGAACGAAAGGTACCAGGCCGATCCAGCAGCAAGCGGAGCCCCGGGATTGGACGTCGGCTCTTGACGAAAGATCGACCTCGATATCTACGCCGGAGCGTGCTTTCGACCAGACGCGTCCAGTCCTCTTTTGTTTTCGAATATCACTCTCTTCGCGACGAAAACGCGACGTCAGGGACGATGACAGTCGATCGTAACACTTTATCAACCGGTATCGATCGACTTTTTGTCACCAAAACTTACCGACGGGTTTGCTTATTAATCGGTTATCATGGGAACAAAAAATGTTATCGACCGCTACCGGTCGGTAAAACGTTTCCTAGAATCGACGCGAAATCAATCCTGTGATTATATATATTTTTTAATGGAAAGACGCGCGCAGCGTTGGGGATTCGAGGCAGCTCGCGCGAAGACTTTCGTTTTCCGGAAGGAGAGTCCATCGACGAGAGCAACGCGCGTGAAACAGGCAATAATTCCGTCGTGTTTCTTGATTGTCCGATAAGGCAATCAACGAGGCCGCCGATGCATCATCCTAACGATAATGTGCAAGCTGGAGCGCAACGATCGGAGGCCGAGACGTCGAGGTTCGCTCGTCGCTTGTTTCTGGCACGACCTCGATCTTGGTTGCGAGCCTGTTCCGAGCGGAATAGGTTACTCGGTGTACACGATTATGGGCGGTGGTCATTGAACCGGCTCTCCGATAACTCGATTTCGTACCGACGCCTCGATAAACGAGCGGAATGCTTCCGGTATGCGGCGGTGTTTGCGGACTGTCGTTCACTACTTGTCGCGTCTAGGTACATTCGATGTTGTGTTGAACGTCCCCGGTGATATTGTTGCGACTGACGCTCGTGTAGATCGATAACGAAACTTGTTACCGACTGTATTACGACCGACCATTCGCTACAATGTTAGACAATGTTACAAAGTGCAAGAGCATCGCGTGAAATCGGTAATCTGATACCTTGTTTACGTTGCTGTTAATTATCGCACGTTTCTAAGAACGTTGCGAACATTCTACATTTGTTACTCGCGAATAACATTACGCGATAACCTTTATCTTGAGTTCGCAATGGCGTGAAGAAAAAGTAGTATTTAGCCACGATTTTGAACGAAAAATCAAATGACATGTTCTCTTTGCATTTGAAACCTGGCAATTGCAAAGTGCGTACGTTGGTTTGGTATAATTTTCTAGTGTTTTTTCGATCGTAAAAGCAAAGTTGAATAACAAAAACGAAACCAAACAACTCGTAAGTGGCTGGAATGTCGAAATCGGTCCGGCGATTATGTCTGTTGCCGTCTTACTCGGTCGCGTGATCTTTATTGGATATCGGAGAACCGATTTACGCCGCTTATCCAACGTTTAATTGCCCACCGTCGAGTTTTTCGGATCATATTACCGGCTATACGGTATTAATTCCGTTCGTAGCCGTGAACTACATTCGTTTCTGCTCGCTTGCTGTCAAATAACGCGGGCACCGCTCGCGTGCCGTATCCTTACGAGTGTCAATGAAGAGAAATAACGGAGAACGAAAGTGGTTACGCGTGGTTGCGTGATGTCAACGAGCCAATTAAGCCTTTGTTATTTAATTAAACGCGTCGACTATTCGTCAGCGAGACCATTCAATCCTACGACAAGTATTGTTTGCACCTTCGAGCGATGGAAAATTTAATCGATGTACTGGAAAAGTACATTGTTTCGAAAATATACGTATATACAGGATAAAGTAATTAAAAGATGTTCCACGGATACTGGTCGCTCGTTTTCTACTTTGTTTCGTATTCCACGGCTAATATTATATAATTACGTTGAATCTTTAATTGCAAAATGTCGTATTTGCAAGTCGACGCAGCCTAGTACGTATGTAGGACGTAGGAATGAATAGTTGAACGAGAATAATCCAAATGGTCGATCGAAAATCGCGAGTCTGCCCGGACTATAATGTTGCCGGCGAATTAATGAGATTAATTATTGCCGGCGCAAAGTATGCGTAGGAGCTCGTCCAACGATATAATTAGTGTTGCAGCGAACCGCCAGGAAAAGCGGGGCCGGAATGGCTTGTTTGCAAGAATTACTCAACACCCTGCAGGAACGCGAATAACGCCTGACTCTTTGTAAGTCGACGCGGTTACCATTGATTCGGAACGAATGTGCTTCGTCGGATATACCGAGTCAGCCAATTACATATGCACTTTGAAGCCACCCGGTACTCGCTTCAACGTCGAAACTCCGAACGAGACAAGTTTTTAAATACCGTAATTAACGAATTGCCAATTTTAACGACCTTTCCACTGCTGCAACCTCCCGGCAAAAAATCGTACGAGCCTCTACTTTCGCTCGTTTTAAAGGGCAAGGCCTCTACTTTTTCGATCTTGAATCGAAATTTTTAGAAAGAATTTCTCTGGGTATTTTGGACCAAATTCTTTAACACTGAATAATTCTATGGAGAGTAATAAATTTTTTCGGGGGTTTGTTTTGCACTGAATTTGAAGGGAGAAGCCTCCTCTTTGGAAGGGCCCCTTAAAAGTTGATTTGCAATTTTTTCTTGCCGAGTTATGGCACTTTGAATGAAAAATCTGTCGTGGGCATATAGCGTAAGAGGTTCAAAATTGAAACGTCTGAAAATTCCTATAATTTGTTCATAGATCTATACAAAGTGAATTAATAATAATCAACACCTTCGATTATCGCTTAAAACAACCCTTTTTCAGGGGTTGAGAAAGTGCTAACCATTATTGACTCATCGAGTACACCACTGAAATATAAACAAAATTGTTTACTATATTAAACACGTCAATGGTTAATACTAGTGCACACAATATCAAAAGAATCTGTCCAGTAAAATCGTTACGTAACACCAAAACGGAAACAACAGATCAACAAGCGCAGGCAACGGTTTGGTCGTCGATTCAAGCATCGTACCTTGGTCTATTCCGATTCTGGGTCCTAAATGGGCACCCGTTAGGGTGGATTAGTTGGTAAAGGGGACTTACGTCGCAGGAGTTGGAAGAGTCGCTGGCCTCGTCGTCGGGGGTGGCAAGCGGGGCGCGTGGAGGCGATTCGAGGTTCTCCTGGTGGTCCTCGAGCGCCGGTTCCGAGTCGTTTCCTGCCTCGAGGCACTTGGTCTCCGAGAAAATGGTCACGCTGCTCTCGGATATCACCACCTCGGTCTTCTCGATGAACGTCGCCTCGGACACGGACAGCTCGCTGGACGACTCGGCGATCGCGTTCTGCTCGTCCGCGTTCTCGTTCGTTTCCTCTTTCATTTCCTCCTCCTTGGCGTCGACATCCTCGTCGTCGCCAAGAGAGTTCCTCGTCCGAGGCTCGACGGCGTCGCTCGACTGCTGGTCCTCGGCGCATTCCTCGCTCAGCACGCGTCGTTCCATGTCTATGAACTCCTGAGTGCTGGCGGCGTCGGTGGACGCCTCCGATTGGCTCAGCGTGCCATCATCGAAGCTCCTCGATTGGACGATCGGCGAGCCGCGAGTCTCTTCTTCCTCTTCCTCGACGGGCTTCCCGGGCATCGGGCACTCCTCGAGGTCCTCCGGAATCTTCTCGTCGATCGAGCTGGAGGACTTGTCGTCCAAGGATACCTTGCACTCCTCCTCCGCCGGAAACTCGTTACCGTCCACGTCCTGCTCCTTCCCGGACTCCGCCATTACGGTCTCGAAGGGGTCGCTGGGCTTTTCGAGGTTAGGCTGGCACAGTGTTTCGTCGAGGTTGTAGAAACACCGGTCAGACTGTTTGGCGGTCATCCAGACGTCCAAGTCGTCGATCAATCGCGGCGGTTCCTCGTCGTCTACGGGGACAGAGTCTGCCTGCACGATGTCCGTCTCCGCGAACTCCACCAGCTTCGACTGAACCTCTTCCTCGTCCTGGTACTTGTCGACGGGCGTGGCGGTGATCTGTTCAGCGAGGGACTCGCGTCCCGGCTCGAAGGACTCGTTGGTCATGTCCACCGCTTCCGGCGGTTTCTCCGCGGCCTCTGTCGTCCGAAGGACAGGGTAAGTCGGGCACGGGTCTTGGTCGTCCTCGTTTCGCGGGAACGAGCCGCCATCGTCCGCGGTGTCGCGCGTCGACGGATCGATCTCGTCGGTCGTTGTTTTCTGAACGACGATCGCGTCGCTAACTTCCGGTTGCTCGTCGAATACCTGCTCCTCCTCGTCCCGGAAGCCTACCGCGATCGGCTCCGGCTTCGCGTTCTCCTCGTACACGGAACCCGAGATCTTGGTGTCGGGTGACACGTGACCGTTCTGATAACTGTACGGCTCCTCGATCAGCGAACAGTGCTCGGTCTCCGCGACGATGAACTCCGTGTTCGCGTCCACGGTGTCCTGTCGCCTGTCCAGCACGATCCTCTTCACCGTTTCCGGCTCGTTCGACGTCTCCTGCCGGTCGTCCGCGTCCACCGACGCGTCCTCCTCGTTGCTGGAGCAGATCCTCAGCGCCAGCTCGCTCTCGATCAGCTCCTGCAGGCTCTTGTCGTCGCTGTCTAGCTCGTTGCGCGTGTTGTTAGTCAGAATTAGGTCGTCCTCGTCGTCGTTGGTGTCGCACAACGTGATTAATTGGTTGTTACTCGCGGTTATGTTATCCAAATCTAGCAAACCGTTGTTAGATTGCACACCGCACACCTCGCTCTTCTTGCTACTTACGACGTTGATCGATTTCTTCGTCGCCACCTCCGCCATTATGGCGCGCCTGGATCCTCGGACAGTCGCACCGTGGACACCTGCAATCACACATACTATGCTTTAACAGAGTTCCACCTCCGATGGAGTTGTCCGCGTTCTATGAAAGGTTCTGTACATCGATAGAAATTCTTTCAAGAATATACAATGGCTGTAGGTTTCTGAAGAACAATTAACTCTAGTAGGTGGAAGGGAACAGCTCCGTTTCCTCGAGTGAATATTTCCGCATATTTGGAGGCGTTTCGTACGCGCAAACATCCGCGGTGGTAGCGATTACGAGGCATGCGCGAAAGAGATTCTTTCGGTTCTATTCTCGGATCGGTCCGCATTCGGTGAACAACGAGATCCGTTGTTCCGCGCGAGGGTCAACCGGCGTAATTCGTTGCGAATCCGAATGACGGGAATACGAGCCCGCGGGACCGCGTTAATTGCCGTCGACGGCAGGTTCTCCGCTCGGTAGCCGCGTACCATCGAAATTAACGGAAGATTCGGCGGTGTGGAACTCAGGAAGCGACGCAGGCCAGCGACGTTGCTTGGCAAGTCGAACCCTCCTATTATTAGCTATTCCGCGCGTACGCGTATTTATGCCGCACCGACGGGACGTATTTCGAAAATGAAACCTGAAACTCCTCAAGGATAACCCGGACTACCATTTTCTGGACTCCAGGGAACGAAGATCGAATTTTCCGCTCGAACCCATTCGGGAAGAAAATCTAGGGTAAAAGGTCAACGAACGTTAGATGGTCTGGGCCACCGGATGTGAACCTTTCTACGCGACATTTTTCAGATGTTCGATGATCCTGACTGGATAATAAATATCAGAATCCTCGGAAAGTTTGTTAGTTTCCAGACTTTATTTTTTCACTTAAGAGTCTATGTAAACGGACGTGGATATTTCGGGGAATGAACTAATTTTATGTTACCAACGTTATCTGCTAACATAAAACCGAGGCTTTTAGCGTTTTGCCTCTAATTACCATCCATTACCCGCATCGCGAGCGATAAAACGACGATACTGCTAACAAGGAAGACAGCTGTATTTAAACAAATTTCAAGTCTCGATGAAATAATACATCTGGACAAGTAGTACGGCAAAGAGAGTTACGCGAGATAAGGATGTATGATACGTGCGAGTTTAAGGCTACCTGATGTTATTGGTGCATGGCAATAATGCGTACAGAGCAAAACTCTATCGATACGGCCTGATAAATTCAGCAAACCCGTTCGAATATTGATATTTTATGGAGTAGGAAGAAATTCCACGTTGCATGTCGTGAAGAATATGCTTCCAACAATTTGTCAAAAAATATCCTTAAATAATCATTATCAAGCTACTCAAATTTCACCATCTCTTCTTTTACTATAAACACGGAAACAGTCTTGAAATGAAACAGCATGGATTAAAACTGATTTTAAATCCATCGCCATCTCGAAACTGAAATTCAGTTTCCTTTCGCACCTAGAACTGTCGTTTTCGACCTCGAAAATGTTTGTTTCCGCAAAATTTCTAATTTTTTGAACGCATCGACCGTCCAACCATCCTCGTTAATGTACAAATGACGAACGCGCTCGTTCAAAAGTGACGATTTCACTCGTAGAGCGCGTGGCGCTAAGCACGTACGAGGCATTTAAAAAGGGACGGTTTTAAAAGGCAACACGCATCGAACCCGTGGCTTTAATTCCATTTAACCCGAGAGTCCGTTACGACCCGCGTCCAAACAACGTCTCCGTTTCGCTTTCCGCTCCGATTTCGCTTCCCCAAAGTATCGACTAACGATCGCGAATCGTCGCGCGCGTAACGCGAGGATCTACGATCGCTGGCGATACCGGTTTATTTCGTATTCGCAAGGCCGTACTCCGGTTTCGTATCGATTTTCTCTCTTTTCGAGGAAGCGGGGACACGATGGATCTCTAAATACTAGTAAATTACCGGGTGCAAATTAGCCAATGCTGTTGCTCGAACGGTCAGGCGCCAAGGGCTCTTAGACGTCTCTTTAATGGCTACAGTTATGATTCCGTTACTCGACTGTGTCGCACGGATGTTTTTAGAAGATCGTGCGGCAAGACGACGCGGAACCATATATTCGCCTAAAGTGGTCGTTAAGGAATACCTAACTGTCTCGTCAGCGTCGATATATTGTAGCGTTACGCGCGTCGTCGTTACGCGAGTTATCGCGCGAACCTCGCAGGCGAACGTGTTTCGATCGCGGACGCGTTTGTTGTTTTCCCGTTCGCGATCGTCGCCGAAAGGGAACCATCGATCCGTACACTCCCGATGGCTCCGTCACACAATTTTTATTCGACCGTTCGTTTAACCTTCGTATCGATAGGACCGCGAGTATCGCAATGAAATTTTAATCAAATTATTGCCAGAGTTTTATTATGCAAGCAAGAACGGTAGAAGACCGGTTAACTCCAATTAATGGGACGTCAGTTATCCGAGCAATCTTTTCCCCCGACGTTCGCCGGGACCGCGTTACGTGGCTTTTGTCATAGTTCAAGGTTGTCGTTGCAGGCATTCATTCTTCCCTCGCATCGGGAATTCGAATTCTCCGGGCGATCCAGATCGATCCAACGACACGATAAATTCCAGGGTATCGCGGTCCATCCGCCACGGTGTATAAACAGAGAAAGAGAACGGTCGGGCTAGTTCGATTCCACCATAAACTAACGCGCCGCAGTAAAATTAGAAAGTGCTCGAAGCGGAGCAGCGCGCATGCGCCCGTGCGCTCGCGCATGCGCGGTCCCTGGTTTTTCTCATGCCCGACAGGACTGCGTGATATTTAAAATCGCGCGGAGAAGGCTTTGAGGGCCCCTGTCGTCATCGTCGCGGTGGCTCTTAAAAGTCTTTTGCGCGTTGCCTGTTTAATTTAATCTTCCTTCCCTTCTCTCGTTCGTTCGTTCGTTGCATATCGTTCTATCTCTGTCTCTGTGTGTTGCTCCCGCTTATACGACTACCTCCCTCCTTTTTCTCCTTCTTTACCTCGTCTCTCTCTTTGGCCGGCGTTTCTCCGAGGTCGTTCTTCGGGTTCACGACCGGGACTATAGGAGCCGAGATCCCGTCTCTCTTTCTCCCGGATCGCGGCTACTCTCTCGTTTCAACCTCTCTCTATTTTTAGAATGACACACTACCGGCGATTCAACGATGCGCGAGAGGCTCTCCTCTCTGCGCCGCTGCCGGGAAATCCTCTGCCCAAAAGCGGCTGCGAACGAAAGCGACAGCTTCTTCGCTGCTTACTTTTCGCCCCGATCGCCCGCGACGCCCCCTCCCACGCCGATCGATTTTACCCCCTGAAATTGAAATTCGATCGTGTTTCGAGACGCGCGAATCAGCCGCGAACGACGGAGAAACGCGTCTCCGGCTAACGAAAGCGCAAGGTTCAACCGTAAATCGCTGTATCACGTACTGTTTGCGCAATCATTCCGGATGCTGGAGCCAGGCGGCGGGTGAACGTACGGCGAGGGTGTCTGCGCTTTTGTCTCGTATTCTGCGCCCACTTGAAATGTTGCAACCGCATTATAATTGCGCAGCCCGTCGAGTGCGCCAATTTACATCGCGCGTGCGTTCCTGTAGCGAAATCTTCGCGCACGCCACCGAATCCACCCACGATCTCTCCCTTTACGACCTTTGTTTCCTCCGTTTTACTCGCGGCACGTTTCACCGGACCAGTTTCAATAATGGTTCGTTCGAAAACAGCTCAGGGTATGGGTCTTTTCAAAGTAATTTATTTTCAGAGAAGATTACGACGAATTCCAGACTTGCAGGCGGAAGCAAAACGATAAGAAAGTGTAAAAGTATATTCGGTTGCAATAGGGCGATTCTACGTGAAAAAATAAATAGAAAACGTGGAATAACATTTTTTCCTAGAATGCTTTGTGTTTGTGATACTTGAATTGCAATAGTTATGGGAGACGCGCACGATCGAATACGGTCTGCCCGGCGCGTCTGTTCGTTGCTCGCTGTTTCTACTTGCACCGGTGTTCAAATCGTACACGCCAGCACGCACAAATTCCAGTCCAGAAGATTTTCGATACGTTTTTTTTTGAGTAACGGTTTGGACATTGCGTCAGCCTTATTTCGAATCACTCAGACTCGATCAGCTTTATTTTTTTAACATTCTATCCAGAGACGATTTCGAGAATTTCGACTTGTTCGGTACGCGGAAGACCCTTTCGCACTGTACACACGCTCACAGACGTTCGTCGCAGAGTTAAACGATCTAATGGATTTTAGACTAAAAGCGTTTAGATACATACACCCCGAGACTAATAGTTTTTAAAGAAGGTGTTTAACTTCAAAGGTAGCATTAAACGGTGTCTGTTGTTTGTTTGCGTTTCGAAACGACGAGGCGTAATGTAGGAAGAAAACGATTAGTCTCTGGTTAAAGAGAACGCGGACAGTATCCAGTAACGTTACAAAGGCCGTCTAAATAGTCTTACACGATACTTCCAGAATCGATCTATCTTACAATACACGCGACGTAGCAATTAACCCTTCGATGTATAGTACTTCTTTTGCATGACATAACTCGTCCGATAATAAGCAGAAATTAGCGGAAACCTCCGTACCCTTCAAGAAATGATACATTTCCAGTAGCTATGAGACAAGAAGGCAAAGTATCGATTACATTGTTATTAGGTGAATAAATAAAAAACGGTAACGAGGGGTAATTAATGTGCGCGTGTTAATCGACGAATTTATGTAACCCCTCGCGAATCGATGCGGCGAGTGAAAGGGATCGATTACTGGCGTCGTCGAATCGGCCGTGCGTCGCGCCCGTAGATTTACAACCGCACGTGAACCGCACCTGAGTACAACGAGGACGTAATCGATAAAGGGAACTTTACTTCCTCGATTCGCGTTCGTGCCCGTCCGAACGACAGGCCTTCCTTTCTTCCATCGACGAACGAACCTGATTCGAAATAGAATCTCCCCGCGCGCGACACGCTTCGGGTCGAGAACCACATAAATCCGTTTCCGGGGATTATTCGTCGAGACCCGACTCCGAGAGATCCGAACGGACGCGAGATTCTCCGCGAA